AGATCCCACTATCATTTGCTGGATATGTAATAAAAAAGAGGAAACTTTTTATCTTATGTGGTGGACATGGGCTAAAGAAGAAGAAATGCTGGATTCAGATATATCACCTAATGGAGAACATTCTGAAACTAAAAATTCAATTGAACCAGAATTTGTTTTGATTACTCTGATGAATGAACAGATAGAGAAGACACAAGACAAGCGTCTGCCAGTATATTCCAGTTGCTAAATTTCTCTATGTGTAGAGGTGGAAGGATGTGGCTATAACACCATAAGTAGATGAGCAGATGAAACTGTCCAATCTTGCAGAGATATGATAAATGGAATACTTTGATCAGAGAAAAGTAATTAAGTTGTTTCAGTAAGGATTGAGAACCAGTAATGATTTTCAGGGGAATGTTGAGAGAGATTATCAGTATTCAGATTTGAAGAATAGCAGGATTAAATAATTTCTAGAAATTCATTTAACGCGTGTATTTAGAGGAAGGATATGTGTATAGCTGTATCCATTAGCTGGAAAAATGGAAGCCACATGTCTTTTTCTACTTTTCTTTATTATTTTTGCAGGGCGGTATATTAGTGTAGTTTTGTAATTTAGTTTTTGAGTTGTAGTTGTAGAATTGGTTTAGATTGTGAGGTTTTTATATGGTGACTTCAATATGCGTTTGACTAAATTAATGTTAGGTTGGACTGAAAAACTGATCCATGCTCAGGCACAAGGAAACTACAATAACAACATAAGATCAGCTCCAGTTGGTCAAACTATCCTGCATCATGTTGGCCAACCACTGATCTGAGCAATTGATATTTAGAAACACAAGAACCCCATGCAGCCATTTTATAATAGGATGAAAATGGATAAAAATGAAAGGTAGGCTGCAAGTAAGTTCATCCATAGCAACAATTAGAAGTATATACGGGCTAAATGAAGTTTCTGGATAGGCCACCTATTTGCTGCTGTCCAGTTCTACCTCTGTTCAAATACACATAAACAGAGGGCGGAAAAGAAAGTAAACATGTAAACTGGAAATTCCAAATAGTTCATCTTCGGAATACAGCAGGTGGCAAGTCTTTCCCAAGAGAGAAAGTTGAGACAACACAGCAGTTCAGAAGGCTGGCCACAAAGGTAGCCAGGCTGAACCCAATAGCAGGGAAGGGAGCAGATGGGCTGACAGCAGTAGGAGCAGATGGCCTGGCAGGACTATGTTTGCCCTTCATTTACAAAAAGAAGAATGAATTGCACTTGCTGCTTGAGTGACTCACAGCACTACCCATGTTGCCCAGAGCCTTCATCAGTGACAAGTAATTCAGCATGGTGGTCAGTCATGAAAGTGTATTTTGCATAACAGAAAATACCAAATTGTTTTTTGGCACAGGCTTGATAAATTTTAGTTGGCAACTTGGCAGCCTGTGCAAATACCATTTAAAATTTACCTATTATTGAATAAGGACATATAAAGCCCATTGATGGTAGAATCTAGAATCTAAGTTTCATGACAGATGTAGAATAAAACAAAACAAAACAAAACGAAGTGTCCAGAAGTCTAGGAAGGATTCCAAAACTTATTTTAAAGAATGTAAACACAATCTCAAATAATGACCTAAGGTCACCCTGTAGGTTAGTATGTAGAGTGTATCCTAAAATGGAGCGTGTACTGAACAAAAAGATGTAATTCTCTGATTGGATAAACAAAGTCACATGGGAATCAGGAGAGAATAAATGAGCTAAGTAAGAGCCACATAACTGGGTGATTTAGGCATACATCCAATGTGGAGAAGAAAAGGCAATGATGTAGCCTTTCTGAGAAAGTTCCCGATAATCCATAACTGTAATGTTATGGCAAGGTTGGAGACATATACTTACATGTTAATTCTGACAAGGCTGGGGGTATACACTTACCTGGGATTAATATAGTTAAGACTTGCTGATGATATGCCCTTGGATGCCCTTCTACTACCTGGAAGACCACATAGTCACTTCTCCTGCCCTGAAGTTTTCTCTGGATGCTATAAGAAACTTTAAACTAACAATTCACCTCTTCATTCTGTATTTTCACACAATGTCTTCCACACCAGTATATTTTTGTTCAGTTGTAAATAAATGAATGATGTGCAGGTGGAAACCATTTATATTAAGGAATACAACACTGCTTTCAGTATAAAGGGAATTCTGATAAGAAAATACCAAAGTGGTATTTTAGGTACAGTTGCCATTTTTCCTCTTTAGCATGCATTTCATTTGCCAAAGAGGAAAAGCAAAATATTTACTGTATCTATGTATTGTCGAAGGCTTTCATGACCGGAATCGCTGGGTTGTTGTAGGTTTTTTTGGGCTATATGGCCATGGTCTAGAGGCATTCTCTCCTGACATTTCGCCTGCATCTATGGCAAGCATCCTCAGAGGTAGTGAGGATTTACTGTATCTGCTCTGAAAATTCTTCCTCTTGGATGGCCTTGTCTGGATCTTTCATTTTACACATTACATTCACGTGTATCAAGATCTTTAAAAGTCTCAGATGTGTACTGAATATGAAAATTTAGTCTAAATCCAATTGCTAGTTCCAACTACAGCTGAACCATGGAATTAATTACTGTCTGTTAAGTCAAGACTAACATAAACCCCACTGAGTGTGCTTCCATTATGGCTACCAATCAGTGATTTTATTCTTGTAATAAGTGGTTTTATGAAGAGATAACCCCCTCTCTCCCCTAAAAAAACCCCTTCTCATATTAGTAATAATTATATAAAAGATCCTACCATCTGTTCAAGAAGGCTTTTGGGTTTACAGAAGAATACTCAATTTGAAAGACTCTTTTTTTCTAATTTAATAGAAATAATCAAAACAAAGTGATTTTCAAAACAATGCTGTTTAAAACTGTTCTCATACAACTGCTACACCACATTCCAGAGCATTTAACAAGAAATATTTACAGGCTGCTAAATGTATTAAATAATAATGTAAAGGAATGCCTTTATTACACACCAGCCAGAAAACACAGGAACTGAACAGTTAAAAACGTTAACTTGTTAAAAAAATTAAATATAATTCAGAGAATACAATACCACAGAAACAGCACATTTCTGAAGAATCAGTAAAGTTAACTATGTGCAAAAGTACCAGTTTTCATTACCAGAAAGAATGAATGTTGGGAACTGACTGAACCCTTTGATTTCTATGTTTACATACAAAATTAGAACAGGTGTTTGATTGCACAAATCTTTATAGACCTGTTATATACATATTTAATGGCATTTTGAACTGAAGAAACGCCCACATTTGCAGGCTTTTAACATGCACCATCTTCCATTTGAAAAATTAATTTCACACCGAGGGGAATGTTGAAATAGGTGAGAGTTCTATAAAATTCTTTGTATTTCTTTGTACACAAATAATTTTTAAAAGACAGCAAGAGCTCCTCAACTTTAAAATGTACTCAGATAAACAACTGCATTTTGTTACTTGTAAAGCAGCTTCTAAATTATGAATGTTTCAAAACTGTTTTGATTCAGATACCCTTCAGAAGGAGAGGAAGAAGCAGGCAAAAGAGCGCCAAAAAAGCTACAATGGATGGAGTTAACTGCACCTGCCAGTTTGAAAAGGAAATAATGGTAGCCATTATTGAACATCACAGATTTTGTGCATTAGTCTGAAATATGTCCATGTAAATTGTGGCATATAAAGATTTTAAAAAAGTACCTCCATTATTTACTCAAACACCTACTTTTTAAAAAAATATGTTAACTTTCCCCAATTTTTAAAATAAAATGCCACACTATAACTGCACACTTTTATTTTGTTTTTAAAAGCTAGACTTGGTGATACACATACAAAAACTTTCCTATAAAACCACTACCCAAAAGAATAGGATTCCTGCCATGCTAAAGAGGCAACAGACAAAGCAGTTTTATTGCTTTTTCCTAGAGAGAGGAGGAAAAAGGGAAAAAAGAAGCCGACATCCAGTATTTTACATACTCAAACTCAACACACTGTTGGCGTTATCTAGACTTAAATAGGAGTGGCTAAAAAAAACCTAAGTTATACTGCTGAAATTGGGGTGATTTGTTAAAAAATATTTGTGGGTTAACGTGGCTTGCAGGAATGTTTATAAAACATTCCACTCATTTATCTAGCACTGAGAAAACTGACAGTCAATGCCACATCAAACAGTATTAATGGGGATCTTTTCACATGAAAAAAGGCTAACTACATTTAACAGCGTTTCTACCTTTAAAAGCTGGGGGACACCTTTTTTGGATAGTAATTAAGCCTTAATAGTATATGATAGGACACTTAATTCCAGGGCACGGTTAAGTAAGACCTGAACATACTTAGCTGGTTAAACTAACACTAATCACTAGTAATTACAAGGCAGGGGACCTGCTGAGGTAATTGAAAAGTCCACAGTCAGCACGCTGTACACTTGTCGTCCTTCCTGTTTCAAAGCAAATTGCCTTTTTTTCTCTTTGGATTAACTTAAACTTTCGAAACATATACAACCAAGAAACATTTGAAATATTTTTTTTCTTTACAAGATCATTTAAAAATCAGAGTTTAAGGGTTAAATTAATTAACAGAGAATCTTGGGATTACATTACACATAAGTTACACGGTAATTTATGCAGCACAGGTAAATCCATATCACATGCAAGGAAAGCTCCACTATCCACTACACACTTGTTCTCTAATATAAAGTATGTTCTCAATCCCAGTATAGCTCAATTATTGCACAGACATACATCAACTGCCAAATAGAGAGGCTCACAATACTGCACAGGATGCAGAGAAGTTACTTTGGGTGAACTAATCTGGACATCATAGGGACATTTTAACCAACCTAAAAAGGGTTCACAAAGCATGTATTGTCTTGTTGTGATACAGTGCTAGAACAGAACCTGGCAATTTGTAGAATTTCTAGTATATTCCAGATTATGGATAACCGAATGGGAAAAGCAACACCCTCCAAAGCCCCAATATGTCCTAGAAAAAGGCTTTTATTGGTTTTAAAAAAAACATCTAAAGAAAATCAAAGGCTTTCTTCCATTTTGGGAACACTATAATTTTATCTTCATTTATACTGAACCCTGCTGAGCTGCAAAAATAAATATGTGGTCAAATGACCACAGTCACTTTCAAAGGAGGGGGCCTGTATAGAATCTGATTAAATGGCTCAGAAATGCAGATATACCTTATATGGGCAGCATGGAAACACAGAATTAGCCAATACCTGATAGTGTCGTGTACAAAATAGGATAATGTACAAAACTATGTTGACAACATTGCAGCTTTCAGGTAATATAGTTGTAAAACGTTCTTCATAATACAGAACGCAGCATTTCTGTGTAGTAAAGAAACAATAAATTGCAAGACTCATGGAGCATATCCCATTGCAAATTGAGAATAGGAAATATGTGTGCAATCACACTAAACTATCATCCAACATTTACTATGCCTTTTGTCTTGCACTTCCCTACTGACAATTTTCGGTTTTCCCAAAAAGTCCATTATAAATATAGCTTTCAGGTAATATAATTGCAAAATGTTCTTCATAGTACTTAAAGTAGATTTTCTATAGTAAGGAAACTATACATTTCAAGACTCATGGAGCATATCCCATTGCACACTAAACTATCACCCAACATTTACTATGCCTTTTGTCTTGTGCTTCCCTGCTGACAATGCCTGGTTTTCTCAAGATGTCAGTTATAAATCCATGTGCTAGAAAGTTGGCACATTAATTTTCAGTTCAGGGATGCCATCCTCTCAACTACACACACAAGATAATAATCAAATGGGGCTACGCTAAGGATAAGCACACAAATACTTCCCAAATCCACTACTCTGAACCTTGAATACATGAGACTAAGTGAGCTTGAGCCCATGTATTTTTATATAAATGATGCAGCTTCATTTCAGTACTTCCTTCTGAGCATGAAAAACCATAGATTTTTATCCCACTGCTACTGTCTTGATTTTCCATGACAAAAAGTAATTTCTGATCATTTGGGCAGCTGTCCGCTATATTAAGGTATTGACAATTTAGAAATTGTCAAATTCTACCGGACCCTTCCACTTGAAATGCAATAATAAAGATAATCTCAGAAAGTGAATCACTTTCACATCGTGGAACCAGCTATATTCTGTCTCTACTTTTTGCCTGTGTACTGAGAAAATGAAGACAAGTATTTGTACTGGAACTCCCTAGAACCTCTCTGAGAAAATACACTGTGCAAAGAAGCTATTCGTCTCTATTATATAGATCAATTATATGTTCTTATACACTCTGAACCATGACAAATCAGGGATCTATTACTGCAGACACCTTAGTGTGGTTTGCATTCTTTGACATTGGCATAATAAAAGTACTATGGAGAATGGCTTGAAAATGGTGCAACTGAATGTAAAAATATTACTTCTTCAAAAGTAAATTATAATAATGCAAATATATTTCTGTTCTCAATGTTGTCATCAAAGCATGCAGATTATCATAATGGGCCTTCCTGTAATCATTATCTACCAAGCAGTCTGGTATACTGATCCATGTAAAGGTTCTAATTTTTACATGATGGACGAGTAACTCTGTTTTCATGGGCTTTTTTTTTTTCACTCTCTCTTAGATATTTAAGCTGCTTCTGAAGAAAACTCTTGAGTAGCTCTAACAAAATAATACAGAACTTTAAACTATGAATGGTTTTAGAAACAGAGCATATTACAAACCTGTTCTTCATTAGGAACATTGCTAAGAATACATATTAGCTTAAAAACAGCCCAGCAAATGTTGCTGTCTGAAGAATTTACAGTACCAATATTTACAAATAAGACAGAGTGAATATAGGAAATTTTACACATTTGGTAGTTGACAAAAGTTACTGTTTGCTGATAGTGGTATATCAGAAACTATTATTAGGGAAGACTGGATAGTCAGTAACCATTTTTTAACCTTACAGTCTCAATACTGAAGTTCCTAAAATCTATATAACCAATTTTCCAGCCAACATCCTGCCTCTGAGGGGAAGAAAAATAGGATTAATAAATTCCAAGAGGATACTCACTTAAGTGTGCTGTGCACAGGACTTCCACTCGACAGCATGAATCCTACTGAAAAAGTATTGATTGCAACCAGACTTAATGAGGGACATATGAAGAACTCGCACTCCTGCATTCTCCAATTCAAAATTATTTAATGATCAACTTACGATACTTCTATACAAGGTCAGTAAAAGAAAGCAAAACCTAGCTACTTGACCCAATAGGAATATGATACTTGCAATACCACTTAAATGAGACACCGAATAAAAACAATCCAATTCACACTCAGTGTTGCATGAAGAGGATCTTGAGGAAGGTTTCTCAAGTGTAAACCGCAGCCCAGTATGAAAGTGAAACATCACTGCCTTGGTCCACTCTTGCAGAAATGCTTACTAAGTAGTGATAAGAGTTCAATTGTACAAATTTCAATTTATAAAAACTCGCTGCTTTATCAACGTTCACCTCTGTATATGAGAAATGAGGGACTGAAAAATGAAAAAACCAAACACTAAAAAACTAAAACACAAAATCAAGAACAGAAGTTGAAAGCTTTCCCCCCTTTTGACGAGAATGTTTCTGTACAATGCTTTTTGTAATCTAATACTGTCTGAATACTATCAGCTTCAATACGATGGCCACCGAAGGGATGATAATATTCCAGGAACACTTAAATATGTTTCTTTTTACAATAGTTTAGGTCCATTTCAATCAGGTTACTTTATATGCACTGGTCTCTCATCTGATTTTAGACGTTTTCTACGTGGCTGTATAAAATCTTCATCTGAATCATCCGTTACTTCAGCATCGTCCTCTTCTTGCTCAAATTCAGGTAAAGGCTGGAAGGTCCTGTCTGGGTAGATCTCTGTAAGTTTATCTTCAAAGTATAATGCAACTGCCTTCCCTGCCTGTGCTACTTCTGAATCGGCCTGCAAAGTAAAAAGATAGCAACATTCACCCATTGGTAATGCACATCCTTTCAGCAAGTGTGCATGGTCTGAAACGCTTACCTTCAAATTAATCTCTTGTGTTTCTGCATAAACTTGAACAACTTTCATCATCTAAAAAGGATACCAGAGTCAAAAAAAAGGAAATTATAATCCCTTCTAAAGTCATGAGACCGCACAGGATGGGATGACTAAAATCAGCCATATCAATTTATTTGTAAAACTTATTGATGCAAAGGTGACTCTTTATGAGGGCCTGTTACTGGATTTACGATATGTGAACTTTAAGTTTCAATATTGTGCAGAAACTGGTAGAAGAGCCCAATATTGTTCGACACACAGCAACCTTAGAAATTGTGTCAAAAATTCTTGAGCAGTCACTCTTTCCATCAGGGCTCCTCTGCATGATTTCATATAAAGAGAAGCCTAACGGATCCATTGCTTTCCAGGTCGGTCTTTTCCCACTAAGATAGCCTCAAAGGAACCTCTGATATAGCAAGAACACAGGCCTCATTGTGCCATAGTTATATTTATTTCTACAAGAATAAATGCAGACATTCAGCACTGACTTTCTTTCTCACTCTGCCTATAGCTCCATCTATGCAGCCTTAAGAGCAGCAGAAATGAATGTGTTACCTATTTTTTTTAAATCAATATGTTCAGCGAACCACAACTCTTAACCTCACCTATTAAATCTCAGTGAAAAAGAATGAGTCCCAACTGCTTTCATAGGCTATCATGTACAGTGACTCATACCTTTTAGAGCTAAATCTTTTACTGTTCTTGTATCTTAAAATAGGAAGAGAAGGTTTAATATGCATACAGTAACTGTTCCAAAAACCTCTGAAGAGGAAATGAGTTCTATTTTGATACTCATTAAAACAAGTGAAATTAAAAACTGAAGATCTCCATCAAGATCTCTCTGATTCTATTAATATCCACCCATAGCACAAAATGACCTATCAAAGCAGTGTAAAGTGGTGGAGTTTCCTTCTCTAGAGGATTTATTTACACAATTTCTACCCCGCCCTTCTCACCCCTGAGGGGGGACTCAGGGCGGCTAACACAGGCAACAATTCAATGCCAACAGTATCAATAACAATATAAAACAACAATATAAAAACCTATTACATAACAATTAAACAGTGATATTAATTAAAATTACATAATCACATAGAACAAATCACATAATCACAAGTCATATAGCCGTTTCCAATTTTCATAACAATCCTATTGTCCGAGTTCAGTGCTGCTGTGCCCATTAGCCAAAGGCCTGGCTCCAAAACCACGTCTTTAGTTTTTTTTCCCTAAAATTAAGGAGGGAGGACGCCGATCTAATCTTGCTGGGGATCGAATTCCACAAGCGGGGGGTCACCACCTAGAAGGCTCTGTCCCTCGTCCCCACCAGACACGTTTGAGACGCTGGTGGGACCGAGAGCAGTAGATCTTAAATTACGAGGTGGAACGTAGAGAGAGATACGTTCGGATAAGTAAGCTGGGCCGGAGCCGTAGAGTTTTAAGCAGAAGCTCGATGGTCACCTATTGGGGATGCCTTGGTTCTGTTTTCCTGCATGGTAGGGAATTGGACTGGATGGCCTTCCAACTTTTTCTATGATTCTGTAACCTATACACAGTACACCAGAGTGAGAAACTGTGGTGTACCTGGAGAACAATTTAATGCTCTTGGACGCCCCAGAGCCACACAAACTGCCAAGAATGGCAGAAAAATATTTAAAACAAACTCTAGAAGTAGATCCAAGTCTATTTTTAGTTTTGAGAAATTGGTACAGTAGAATTTCGCTTATCCAACATAAACAGGCCAACAGAACGTTGGATAAACAGGAATGTCGGATAATACGGATTCTCCTACTGTTACCCTTCCAATGCAGCACTAGACACCTAGAATACTAACACAGAGACTCAAAGGGTTATCACAAGACAACACCTCGGGGCTAGAATGGCCCAGCAAGAAGTGCCCGGATGCAGAAGACAAGTTGTGGAAATCACAGAGGGAAGGAAGGAAGACGCTTCCACTTCCAATCCTGCCTCTTTTCCCTCTTTCCTCCCTCCTCCTCCCTGTCTTGGCTTTTTCACTTATTGGGCATAGAGAGTTGTGGAGCACTCCTTTAATTGAAGGGGAAATGCTGGAAGAAAAGGGGGCATCAGATAAAAGCGTCAAATAAGACAGAATGCCAGATAAGCAAAGGTCAGATCAACGAGACTGTACTGTATTAAAATTGGGGTCCTTCTACTTCTGAAGTTTCCAGTAGGTGAAGTTCATTCCCACTCTTATTTCAGGGGGAGAGAAAATGGTTCTCCAGCAAGACTAAAGAGGACAAGTGGCAAAAGCCCCAGAGCCATACTTAGTCTATTTGACTATATACACTTATCTCTAAATAAACCTTACTGAATCAATGAAACTTAATTTTCAGTGGACATTGTTCTGTAAATATATAGTTTCTCAAGATACAGTCTTGAAATTGGAAACACATATGGCCTAAATAGTCATATTTAGAATACAAGTACTGACAGTTATTGATCAACTTGATCCCTTACTGTTTTCAAAAGATTTTGGTTTACCTATGATCACTTGGATCCAATCTTATATTTGAAAGACCTGTAAGCTCCCATTTCCATATTAAGTACTTTCCTATCTTAAAAAGAGAATGGCAGAATTCCGGTCTGAAAACTATCATAACAGGCACTTCTTTTTATATAATCGAAGACTTCTTAGACTAGATAAAGAAGGTATACCTATCTTGTTTCAAACAAAGCTAATCAGATACTCATAGTATTGCCAAAAGCTGGAAGAAATGTGTTCCAACTTCAGAATCCGAGTTCAAAAATACAGGAACTCCACTTATTTACCATAGCTAATTGTCATGTTCTAATCTCTCCAAATATGTCTAAATGCCTTTTAAAACTGTTTAATGTTTTGTTTAATTCTCACCACTGCTACTTACAAGGGCTGATTTAATTTAATGTAGAAGACATTAGGTTGAATCAAACATTTGAATGAATCAATAGGAAAGCTTAAGTCTGATTGTAACAATGGCTTCTTGTAGTTTTCTTTGGCTTTACTGCGATTTGCATGTCACCGCATTCATCCCCACAAGGAACTTGTCAATCAGCTTTATCATTAATTATAGTTCTTATCATGCAATAGTGCTAACATGTGGAAGTTTACTCCACAAACAACCCAAGCAAAGTTTGACACATAACTTGTCATATATTGATATGGCACACAGTGATATAGTTTTCTTCAAGCAGCCATATATTGAGCCAATCCAATTTCAGTAGCATGAAATACAAGAATAAAATGTTTTTGGACAAAATGCAAAATAGTATAATGATTATGTTTCTAATTTACATAGGGGAAATGTCAAAAATATAGTGGTGGCATGCGGAGGCCAATCCAAGTATATCCTGAACTTCAAAGGATAACAAGGTCCATGCAAACAAATTTTAATGCCAGTAAATACTATTTATGTGATTTGCCCGATATAAAGGAAGATCAGCAGGCCTGTATGTGCTGAAATTGCATTGAATACTCTGCACATAAAAGAGGACTATTTGACACACAATACATGCAAATAACCTATACAATGGGACTCTAAAGAGATGAATCAAAATGTCCATCTATCCCAGAAAACCTGGAAACAACTGTAAATAAATGTGTGTAGAACAAGAATTTCATATTAATCAAATACATTCTTCAGGTTGGAAGTTTACATACTTCATTAAACCTTTCACAGTTTTTGAAGATCAACCGTACATCTGCCACAAAATCATCAGGCGTCTGGTAGTGTTGGGAATGCTTCTTCTGTAGCTTTTTCTTTACTGTAGATAAATCCATTGGTTTCTTTATTATTTTATAGTAGTTTGGTATCTGTTGAGAAGATGCAGAGGGATTACAAAAAATAAAATTAAATAATATGTTCATTGTTAGTGAAATATGTTTTAGACTCCTGCCTCAATCATCTGAAGGATAAACCTGCAGCTAGTAGGTTACTCCCGACTGAGAATTATTCACCCTTTTTCTGAAGTCAATAAAACAGAAATAATTTTTAAGTAGCTAATTTAAATTAGCCAGTCAACTATTTTTATCCAAACGATTTTGTGAATAATTCAACTACAGTAGAGTCTTGCTTATCCAACATAAATGGGCTGGCAGAAAGTTGGATAAGCAAAAATGTTGGATAAGGCAGGATTAAGGAAAAGCCTATTAAACATCAAATTATGTTATTATTTTACAAATTAAGCACCAAAACATCATGTTTTACAACAAATCAACAGAAAAAGCAGTTCAATATATGGTAACGTTATGTAGTAATTACTGTATTTACGAATTTAGCAGCAAAACATCGCAATGTATTGAAACAACTGTGGATCCGGGTGGGAGGCAGACTGCATTGGATAATACAGAATGATGGATGAGCGAAGGCTAGATAAACAAGACTCTACTGTATTCAAAACCATAGACAGCAAAGTAATATTAATCTTGGTTTTAATTTTAAAAGTCTTATCTGTTAAATGTTAACTGTTAAAATGCTGGTTCCAAATTTAGGCCTAACGTAGAGTGCGTGTAATCACCTGCAAAATGTTGTGTATCATCAAGTAACTCACCGAAGCTGGAACCGGCTCTTGGAATTCAATGCTCAGCTCATGGCAATATAGGTAAAGCAGGAGGCGCTCACATTTCTTGCAGAGGAAAACAAATTCAATGAATACAGTTTCATTCTAAGGGACTGTTTTTAGTTGACTCGTTTTACATTGTACATTTCAGGAACACAAGAGTAAGATTCTTAATTCCCAAGAGTCTGAAGCCCTGCAGTACTCCCGCCAATTTCAGCAAGGCTACTTGGAAAAGCTACAGCATATAACTAAAATTCAAATATCAATGCAACAGCTACCTTGTGCCAAAGGGGGTTTTGAACTTTAACAGCTACATGTTATGGAGGAAAGAGCTTTAGGGCAAGGTGTCGTTTTAGCAGCAGCCAATGATACTGCATAAAAATAGGCTGCAAGTAAAAAGAAACCCCTAAAATATTACTGGCTGAAATCAAGCTTGCAAACTTAGTGGCGACTTGTAAAATACTGCAGAGAGAGCAGATAGAAATGTTCTGCTCCCAGATGCTTCCTATGTCCGGGGGGGGGGGGGGGGGGGGGGGGGGGGGGGGGGCTGGAGCAGATCAGGGGAGGACTGGATGGTGAAGGATTCTGAGGACTCCTATTCCCCGACTCCATTGCACTCCCCTCTCGCCTCCAGAGGAAAGCTACACCAGCCCAGGAACTAGAATAGTTTACATCTCTCCCATGGGGTACAATTGCAAGAGAAGGAATGAGAGAGAAAGTAAACTGGCCAGCCAACCAAAACCTCAAATGCCTTTTGCACTGCCTAGCTGAACAAACCAGACATAGGAATTGGCACCTTGGCCAGCTTGAGTTCATTCATCTACCGCTTTGCATTATAAGCCTTTTAATGGCAATTTAAGAGATTACGGTCTCAAATGTTCAATAGCAGCCACCCAAGCTTCAAGTGATGCTAATGCCCATTTCACTACATCTCTAGGCATGTTTGTGCCCCTTAATTTTTTCATGTCTATACTAAGACTTTTTAAAACAGAAAGTGATTTCATATTCTTCTATTATCTCCAATTTTGGGGCAGGGGAAGCTCTAGATTTAGCCTGAAATAAGTTTCAGGTTATGCTTTGAAAAGATGTCACACTGAAGAGAAAGGGGGAGAGAGTTTGTTTTCTGCTGCTCTGGAGACTAGGACACAGAGGAATGGATTAAAATTTCAGGGGGGAAAATTACAGCTAAACATCAGGAAAAACTGTTCAGCAGTGGAACATGCTGCCTTGGAGCGTGGTGGAGTCTCCTTCAAGTGAGGTTTTTAAGCAGAGGCTAGATGGCTGGGTGCTGGGGGTTCTTTTATTCTGTGTTCCTGCATCACAAAATGGGGATGAACTGGATGGCTCTTCCAATTCTGAGTCTAAGAACAAAGGCTTAGAAATTGTGACAGAAAAATGGCCATAAAAATATCACTGTGTTGCACGAAGCCTGTTGGCCATGTTCTGCCCACTCCTGGTATTGAGGATTAATGGGTTAAAAATAAAGAGTTAAAGCATTGTAAAGGGGGAGGGAAATGGATCTTATTTTCATCAGCAATCTCTAAATATCACATGGACAAGAAATTTAATCACAGTTTGTGTATCTGAAATTTCTGACTACACTGTACCTGTATGTGGTGAAATAACTATAATAACTACATATGTCCACCCACTTAATACCGATTAAAATATTCAATATAAGTATCTGTATAAAAGATATTTAACTTAAGTCAACAGATTACAACAAAAGAACATTTTGTTAAACTGAATTTCAGAAAAACAAACATACATTATTGGGCACCTACCCTTTGGTCCACAGGACTCAAACCTTGCGCAGTTTTCCCCTTCTTACTATGCTGCAAGTTATCACAATCATATTCTACTTCAGGTTTGCTAAGATCTCGGCAAAATGTACATATCCATTCTCCACTAGTGGGGAAAAGAGAATTAATCCAGAGGTTTAGGTAAAGTATTCTTATTATGGCTTCTAGAGCCTATTTCTTGTCCAAACTGAACTAGATCCGTTGAAACTGTGAGGGTTTGCACAAATTCTGACAGACCATTCAATGAATTTACTTAAGTTAACTAGGAATTATATTTAGGCCTAACAATGTGCAAACTGAAAACCGATGTGTTGTAACAGGAATTAAAACATGTAACATAAAACCACTTTGTATTTGAGTTTTTCTGAATGTATTTTTAAAGGATTGATTTATATTTCTCTTATCATAAATAAAGAATAGAGATTGAAGTCTCTGGAGACACAAATGTGAGCTCAAGTACAGATAGCTGTGCAATAGTCATGGTATGGACAAGTTTCACTACCTATCTGACAACAGGTGGAGAATAAACAGATTCTGTATCCAACACACTTCAAAACAATAAAGCGCCAGGGGAGGATTTTTTGCTGGCTGAACTTTTCAAGAACAACAGTGATTGGTGGGTTCAACTTTTAGCAGGGCTCTTCTCCCACATTAACAATTCATGCAGCATACCTAGAGGCTGGCAGATGAGTATTATCATCCCTATTCATAAGAATGGAGAAAAAACCAACCCAAAGAACTATCGGCCTATAAGCCTGATTGATATCACAGCAAAAATCTACGCAAAATATCTTTTGATCAAAATTGAGCAATGGTCCAATAAGATTCTGTATCCATTCACTAAGTTTTAATCAATTAATTATATTATTTTACAACAGCTATTTCTTTCTGAACTTGTAGTCTTACTCAATGTTTCATGACATTCTTTCCATGACATCCTATCCTAGTCTTGTCAAAAACAAGATTCTTCCTCTTAAGACTATAGGCACATAGAAAAGACTATTAATTTACTCATTACAACATATTTTGCAAAGCTAAAACAGATATGCAAAAAGAAGTTATTTCATAGTGAACTTTACCACTATGTTTTTAACTCGCATGCTGTGTTTTTTTTTCCATCTTACAATTTCACCTTCCCCAGAGTGGTTCTGATATATCGTGTGATCATGACTGCTATAATTGCCGAAACTGCATCAGACAGAACATGGGCATTTTCCTCTGTATACTTAATCTGCCTAAAAATCTTATTGTTTCCTAGAAAATGAAATAACTTTTGCTTATACAATCTATACTGACATTTTAGTTTACATGGACTGATAGACGTTGGTGGTTACCATTACACCTTTTTTTATTGCAAATAGCCATAAAGAAAAAAAATCAATAACAAAATGTTATTGTGTAAAACACTACTCTATTTTCATACCTTGGAAAGCTGAGGAGAGTGGGTACATGACACGTGAGGTGGAAAACCTTTGGGCACTTTTCACAACAGAGCAGGTCTCCCCCATTTTGGCACACAGCGCACCAGTCCTCATTAGGATCCTCGTCTTTGTTGTTGCCTTCTCCTCCAGTCCTAACTGATCGATGCATGAGGCTACGCACTGGAGACTTTCCATTTACAAGACCATGTCCAGATTGTTTGCAGCTTTCACTCAGGTCTGCTGGTTCAGTTTTTACATGGTTTTCTATTCTTCCCAGTGGTTCCAACTCGCTTTCCAAATGCAAGTTTGAAGATAGTGGTGGTGTCAAACTACTCTCAGGACTGCTAAGCTAAAGTAAAGGAACAAGACTGAAAGTTAAGAGAAATGCATTTGAATGGCAAATCTCTGCCCCATTCCCTTTCTTAACTTCAGGTTCCTGCTTCTTAAGTATTATCCATTAAAAGCTAGATAACCAAGACATTTCCACCTTTGCCTCTGTGCATACTCAAAATCTGACACTTTTCGCATAACAAGCTGGGATCTAGTAAGACTCCTTATTTGCATTCATGTTTTAAAGTTTTAAATATTTTCTCTTGGGTACCTCAGATTCTGCTGAGGAAAAACTAAGGCAACAAAATCTAAGAACACACATCATCACAAGTACTCAGGTTTTCCCAGCTCCCCACCAAAGTTTCTTAGTGTTTCCACGATGGACATAAAGTGGAAGTGAAATGGACCTTTGCCATCATATGAATAATACCTATAAATATGGAGGTGGATGGAAAATAAAATCCTTTGGTCATGTGTATGTGTCTTCAAATTGCCTGTTGGCTTACAGCAACTGCCTGAATTTCATATGGTTTTCTTAAGTAAGGATTACTCGAAGGTGGATTTGTCCCTTCCTTCTTGTAAAATATAGCCGACAGCATTGAGCTGGAAACAGACTGAGTCAAATATATCTAGTGAAATCACTGGGACTTATGCTAGTGGTCACTACCTTTTTCATGGATTCCAGTCAGTTTGCTTTAAGCCCATACAAGTCTGACTACAATTCAACATGGATATCACTTTCCAAGTAATATATCCTAAGTATTGGATCAACCCAAGGATATCCTAAGTATTGGATCAACCCAAAGCACTGTTATGAAGTAGAAGTGAAATAGTTCCAGTACTGTAGATATGGAATTCTAATTCTACAGAATGCCCATCATTAGATAAAAAGAATAATTCATTTTTTTGCTGAGAAACCAAAAACTTCAGGTTTCACAAGAAGAGGAGCCTGTCTGAAAATAGCTTAAACAACATAGAGAGGAAAATGTGAATCTTATAGGATTCTCCTCAACATGCTTGAAATGGCTTAATATTGGACTATCAACTGGACAGTACATTTGCTTTATTTCTTCAGAGAAACACAAATAGCTACAGTTTTCTTTGCTGCATAGTGAATAACCACAAGGATGGTGGAACACACAAATAAGAGCCTTACCATACAGGCGCTTCTCCTGCCATCCTCTGTTTTCTCTTGCTTTACTGGTCCGGAGTAACTGCATACCTCTTCTTCTGTGCCAGGCTCTTGCTTAACTTTAACATGGTCAGGCTTGAAACTAATATTATTCTTCTCAACAGTTCTGCCAGAGGAGCCACAACTGGAAAAGTAAATAGTTATATAACTATCTTAACTGCTTGTCAAAGACAGAATTCTGAAAATCAAAAACGCCCTGATTTACTGAAAGCTACAATAACTGTAAGTGTGAGAATCCTTGTTTTATGGGTACCAAAACCAAATTTGTTGCTGGTACCACATGAGGTTTTCTAAATATTCATAGTGGAATAAAATTTTAGTATCCTATTTAATCTATATACTATGCAATCTATAATAATCTATATCTAATATAGAATTAATCAATATTAATTCACTATGATTTATCCTTATAATGGAATCTGATATAAACACTATATGCTGTTCCAAATGTCACATAGATAAGTACGTACATGAATAATATTACATAAGTAATATTCAGGCCAAAAGTGTGAGAACCATTGACTTGGGACAAGAGTGATGGTAAATGCCTTTCAGATTTTATTTTGGAGGCTATAACTTCAAAAATTGAAGTGTTTTCAACACATCATTAGGCTGTTGGGAAAGTCAGATATTAATAATTTCTAAAAGTTTGGTGGTGTATGACACTTCTTTGAAGAAACTTGATTATTATTATTACTTTTCAACTGTGTTATTACAAGTTTATGAACATACCAAAAAGTCATATAATCTACATCAAGGGTCCCAGAATAAAATCAAGTATACTGTTTCATATATAGTTTTCATTTGCAGCTTATGATTCACACACTCACATTTATTATTCCCAATGCAACAATGAAGAATTATCATACAGGCAATGGCAACTTTATTGGAAACTAACAGAATTTCTAAACAGGGAGAGATTCTTGGTTACTAGCTTTATTTAGTAACAATGGGGGAGGAGTATAATAAATGCAGGATGTAGATGTACAATGACAGGAAGCTAGGTATTGGGGCAAAAGTCTATCACCAAAATATGGTATGTTTGAGAGGGAAGTAATACAGCTCAAGAAATGAAAGACACTACACAAATGGAATCAGAAGGTGAAAAGGCTCAATTCTTTCGGTAAAAATGATCAGATCCTGATGCGTAGCCTATATCTTTGACAAGAGGCTATCTTGAAAAAAACGGAATGGTGTCCCATTGGCAAGAGGGTGAGAAAAGCCTGTATTTTATCACCCACTCTCTTTAATTTACATATCATACAGAAAGCAAGATGAAACTTAGAGGAAGGAGGCATGAAAATTGGGGAGAAAGAATATCAACAATTCCAGATATGGAAATAACACCGTATTACTTGTAGAAAACAGAAAAGAAACTACAAAAGAAAGATTACAGCTAAACATTTAAAAAAGGAAACTGTATGATAATTTATATAACTTCAAAGTTGGTAATAAGGACATCAAAAAAGTTTTAAAAAAATATATCTTGGCCCAATCATTATTTAAAATGGTGACTGTAATCATGGAATCAGAAGGATGAGGCTTAGAAAAGCAGCTGTGAAGGGATCTAGATGAGATCCTCAAATGAAAAGATATTTCATTAGATATCAAAGTCAGAATATCCACACCACAGTAACTCCAATTTTAGAGAAAGCTAGACAGTAAAGAAAGCTGACAGATTTGCTCCTGGAGGAGAGTTTTACAGACAGTATGAATAGCTATAAAGACAAAGAAATATGTCCTAAAATTTGACTGAGGCTGTCATACATATGCATGAGACAATATGATTCATTCAACTCGAATCAACCAAATCTTTATTTACGGTCAGAGACCAGTAAAGAATCCCACATTAAATCATCCATCCACATCAGTACAGTGTTTAAATTAGATTAGGATATATATTAAAATTTGACACCGTTACAATAGATACTTATAAGACCCTAGTCTGACTATAGATTTTGAAAAGATAATGTAGACCAGGGGGGGGGGGGGGGGGGGGGGGGGGGGGCTTGAGGGGCTTCAGCCCCCCCCCCCAAAATTCTCATGGTGGTTCGCGAAAAGGCCTTACTGGTGCATTATTTAAACTGTTATGTTTATTCATATCATGCTCTGATCACCATACTCAATATATCCCATATGCATGGGGGTATTGGGGTAATGATACAAAAGGTTTGCTAGGCTAGACCCTCTTTCACTCAGACTCAGCCCCCCCAAAACTCAGCCCCCCCCCGAACCCCCCCCTGAAAAAAATTCAGCCCCCCCCCCCAAAACGAAATCCTGGCTACGGGCCTGCTCTGAGCCACAGCTATATTATTATCCTCATCATCACCACCACCACCACCATCATCATTATCATTGCCATCATCATCTGTATTTATATTCTGCCTTTCTCCCCATGGGGACTAAAGATGGCTAACATCTAAAACATCTAAAAGAGCATTACAAAAATAAAGAATAACAGTGTGGTAAACACAGGATTAAAATACAGCAAATACAGTAAAATGGTCTTTAAAATTCATATCCCCATCAATACCACCCACTCTCCCCATACCCTTCCCCAAAAGGCAGTGGCAGAGGAAGGTCTTGACCTGCTTGCAAGGATGGGGCCATTCTGGTTTCTCCTAGGAAGGAGTTCCAAGTGATGTTAAAAATATCTCATCCTGTACTGTCCAACTGCTGGGTGTCACTTTTAATTCTTTCAAATTTTATTCTTTCAAATTGATGCATAGAAGTGTGCCATTAATCTTGTAATTCTGAGGTCACTGCCCATTAACATATAGTTCAATATATCTTTAATGTCTGAGCCATACAGGCCTACCAGCATTTGACTGACAATTCCCTTATGGGGTTTTTCATATATAGGGCATCTAAAAGGCATAATTGCTCTAGGGCCAGGTTTCTCAACCTTCCTAATGCCGTGACCCCTTAATACAGTTCTTCCTGTTGTGGTGACTCCCAACTATAACATTATTTCATTTCTACTTCACAACTGTAATTTTGCTACTGTTATGAATCGTCATGTAAATATCTGATATGCAGGATATGTTTGGATCTGAGAAATACTAGAATCAGATGAAATAAGTGAATATGTGTAGTTAGAGAAAAAGGAAATTGCAAAATGTTTTGCGCTCTTTCTTTATCATACATAAATAGGAGTCTACAGGTTTTGGTTCATGAGTGAATTTGCAAAGCCTTTATTTTTCTTTTAACCTATATAAATTACACCATAACTCTGTTTTTTGCAAACGTACACAAGACATCAGCAGCTGATTTTGAAAGCTTTACTTACCTGCCTCTACTGCCTGTGCTGGAGGTACTAGGTGGTCTCACAGGGGTGTGGGAATTGGACAAACCTAAGAAAGGATGAACCGGGGTTTACATAAACAGTCTGAATTATATAAATGCATGCCTGTGGCAATACAAATGTTATTCTATCCTATAGGCATTGCAAATTATAATTAGTTTTTTATAGTCAAGTATTGTCAATAAAGTAAATACTTAAAGGGAAAAACAAAACTAAAACACACACATATAATACTAAAATGTGTAAGTAAATGCTGTAGTCTCACAATTACTTCTCTTAAGAATCCTAGCACTTATTTATAGTAATCCAATACTTTGTTCTAATTCCAAAACCTTTTATAAAAATTATTTAACTGAAAATCATGCTAACATTTTTGATAAGGAAAACATAAATCTTTTAAATTTTAAAAGATGCCATGCCATGAAAAGCAAGGACAACCAATGACTGTATTTTACTAACATATATGTGAAACACACTTAAAGGCAATATATACTAATACATGCAGACAATAAAAAGGTTCAAGCTCTGCAGTAAAACTGAGACTGAAAGTAATTTTGCCAATTACTACCAAGGAAACCTCATACAAAGTACAATTCAAGATAATTTTACTTGTAACTGATCTATGCATAAAGTTAAATCTCTATGCTCCTGTCATTCCACTTGTGTTTTATAGCTTCATACAATCTGCAAGGGTGGCACTAGACTCAGCTTTTATAGTTCACAGCAAGTCTTGGCTGCTAGAGAGCAGCTTCATGTCCACTCTGGCACAGAATGTAATCTAACTACAAGACTTGACACTTTATTGAAAACACTAAAGTAGAAACAGATAGGAAGGGACTGCTGTTCAGCTTCATAATATTGTATCTTCTTTATTAATCACACAGCCCTACCCAAATAATTCCTTGATATCTTGGTTTTTAGGCCTGCTCCCGGGGTTACTTGGGGTTCAGAAATTGCATTGGATATAACGTATCAGCTCTAGTTTCTTAGATATGGTTATTATGATTTTCTACGTGTGAGCAGATGACAACAGTTATATGGCATGTGTTCTGTATTTCAAAACAATCAGGCTGATGACATTTTTTAAACCAGTAGGTCAAATTCATTAAAACATATTCATATTTAAAAACTACAGCTCCCCCTGACTTGATCCTAAAAACCTTCATATTTAAAAGCCTGTCTCAATAAGAAGGTTTTAGCCTGCTGCTGGAAGAATAGCAGGGAGGGGGGCCATTCTGGCTTCTATGGGCAGGGAGTTCCAGAGGCAAGGGGCAGCCACTGAGAAGGCCCATTCTCGTTCCCACCAACTGAGCTTGAAATGGAGGTGGGACCGATATAAGGGTGTCTCCTGAAGAGGCTAGTGTTACCATTCTTTCCTTTTACTAAAGAGGTATAATGGTCACATTCTGGGATATGGCCCTGGAAATAACAAAGGCTTGGGAATATTAAAATCGATACCCTTTTTCAGTAGCACTCAAGATAGTAATATAGAGATACCAGCTGCTGATATATACCCCCCCCCAAAAAAAAAAAACTAGAACACTGTAGCTGTTGGGCTAAGAAGCCACAAAACTGCTAGTTTTACCTTTGTTTTTAGATTCTATTTCCAATTGTTCTGGGCATGAATATTTTTACTGCATAGAAAGGGCCACTCTGTCAATTGAGCTGTGGAATATAACACAATTTATTTATTTCCCTATTAATGACCCTTTACCTTTTCATCAGAACAATTAGGATTTAAGCCGTACTCTATAGTGATCACATAAAGTAATCTCTTCCAGCTACATGTTCTCCTGATGTTTTGCATCAACTCTCATGATCCTTTACATTGGACATGTTAGCTGCAGGTCATGGGAATGACAGTCCAAAATATATTACAGAGAGTACAATGTTGGAAAAATCTGAAGGGCCCATACAGTCAAAAAAAAGAATGCTTATGTTGCACCCTAGAGCAGGAACAGGGCCCTCTAATCATTAATCACACCATACCTTGAATGAAGGAAGAGTCCTTTTTTTATTAAAGAATAACTGGAGCCAATAAAAGAGATGATTATAAAATAGGTAGAAGTCCAAAAGCAAAAAACCATATAAGAAGTGTCCAAACATGGGAATAATAACTATGTCCAAAGAGCTTGCAGAAATAATGCAAATGCAGTGAATAACCAAAAGCCTTCAATATAAAACCTTGACCAGACTAGCCAATGCTAATCCACTTGAAAAACTAGATATGTCCTTAGAGACGAGGCCACTTGAAACAGGAATTTCCAGGAGACTTGAGTTGATTCCAAATGATGCCTGATCTGAAGAAGACTCTCTAAGGGCCCAATTTAAGTCCCAAAAACTGGTTTATACTCCCCCCAGTTTTTGGCCTTTAACTGCCGAATTCTTTCTGACCTGCGTAAACATTGGGCTTCTCGATGGTTCTGGCTGATTTCCAGATGGCAACTGGTCTTATCTATCTCCTCATTAACTCCACCAGGTGTCAAGCTATCTTGCAAACTTGAGCCTGGAGAAGGGAGTAAACTTTCTTCCCTTGCTCTGACAGAAACTTTCTCATGAGAACTTAGCCTTTCCCCTGACCCTCTTGATCAGTGTCTGCAGTAACATTATTGTCCAAAGTGTCTCCATTTTGCACCTCGTCCTCATTGATCGCATCAGGCCCAGAAACATTAGAAGGGGGAAACACAATCACAGATTCAGGCTCAAACACCGGCTGAGTCCCATCAGCTCACCAATTTTATTGTGAAAATTATTAAAAGTAACTTGATGAAATTTTGGTATTGGAAAACTGATGTTTCAGGATACATGCAATTTCTTAAAAACCTAATATTTGTGGGGCTTTACAGAAGTGCTGGTTGTTCTAAGAAGAAAAATTAAGATGCCCACTGTCTCTTCCCAACTTACCTGATGAGCCTGGAGACAAGGCTGAGGGCCCAGGGGAAGGATTCATACTGCTTAATGGTTGTGGTGGTAGATGGCTGCCTGCAATATATCTACTTAGTAAATTATCTAAGGTACTGGAACCAGCATCTTCCAGCTGAAATAAAAGAGACACACATAATGATTGTGCCAGCATTCTAGAAATGACAGCTTGAGAATCATCTGTATTTTCACTAAAGTATATTTAAGGACTAGTAGTGAGTCATATGATGAGAGAAACAATCAACTGAATATTCAATTTTGCCATATTTCTCTTTGATAAATCCCTGTCTACAAAAGCAAGGAGCCTAGGAAACTGCATGACTAAAGCAAACAATAGCCTTAACACAGACTATCATAATGTCTGCCAAAGTTAAAAATTTAATGATTTTCAAGGAAAAACATTTAAGCCTTCTCTGTTAGAAAACCTGAGTACAGGACTATGATATAATAATTTAATGCTTGCTTTATATATTTCCACATCATTAGCCTTACCTAGGTACTACAGCTTTTATTTACTTTTCTCAAATAAAGAGCAAGGAAAGTTGACAAAGAGGAACAGAATAGCTCAATTTTTAAATGACACAGGTCTGCCAGGTGGAAAAGGCTGTAATTTTCAAAGACCTCATTAACAAAGTGAACATAAAGAGTTCAAAATATTCTTTGGCTATTCGACTTTAATCAAGGAAACATTCTATGAACATGCAATTCTAATGAAGACAAATCCTTAAAAGATATTCAACAGAACAGAAAATATTTTCTTATATTTTCATTTCTCCATAGAAAAAAAAATTAAGTAAGTATCTAAATTTAGGTTAGACAACTAAATATCATTCATGCCAAAGTGGGTAAGAGCCAGGTTCCAAGTCAGAATGCTGAACTGGGTGAGATACAACGTAACATATTTCCACTCATCTTACTGTGCATTCATCACCAGAAGCATTTTTCTTCAAAAGATAAAATGTATCTCCATTTAACAATATTATGTTCTTTTCACCTGATTCTATGCATTTTAAATAGAGACAAATTATAGCATTGGTACCCCTTCCTTCTCCATGAAACACTGCACTAGATATGTACATTTGGTTCCTAAATATCTTAAAGTCATCAAATCCTGTCTGATCCAGGAAGATAAACAGGGTCAGCCTTACTTAATACTTAAAAGGGAGTTGAAGTAAAATTGCATTTCAGAAAAAGAAACTGGCAAACCACCTCTGAGAATTTTTTGCCTACCAAAACTTCATAAAATTACAAGGGTCAGAATAAACTGACAGGAAACGTGAAGGCACGTGCACACATAAATGCCGTGATAAGAAACAAATGATATAGATTAAACTTGGCATAGTTTATTCAGTGAGTTCACAACTGAGTAATTACTTCAATCCAAGACTCTCATCAAAGTCTAAAGCTTTAAAGCTTCAACTCAGAATTTTAATGTGATATACCTTTTTCAATTCTGGGTTGTTGTAGGTTTTTCGGGTTGTATGGCCATGTTCTAAAAGCATTCTCTCCTGACATTTCGCCTGCATCTGTGGCAAGCATCCTCAGAGTTTGGGAGGTTTGTTGGAAACTAGAAAATTGTATTTTTATATCTGTGGAAGGTCCAGGGTGGGAGAAAGAACTCTTGTCTGCTTGAGGCAAGTGTGAATGTTGCAGGTTGGCCACCTTGATTAGCATTTGATGGCCTGACAGTTTTTAGGTGTGGCTTGTTACTGCCTGGAAAATTTCCTTGTTGAGAGGTGACCAGGTGTTTCTGATTGTTTCCTGGCTGGAGTTCCCCTGTGTTTGAGTTTTTTTTAAATTATTTCCTGTTATGATTTTAGAGTTTTTTTTATTACTAGTAGCCAGATTTTGTTCATTTTCATGGTTTCTTCCTTTCTGTTGAAACTGTCCACATTCTTGAGGATTTCAATGGCTTCTCCGTGTAACCTAACATGGTATTTGTTAGAGTGGTCCAGCATTTCTATGTTCTCCAATAATATGCTGTGTGTTTTCATTTCTGTTTTGATAGCTTCCGTACCATCAAAAGGACAACTACTAGTAACAAAATAAAGCAAGATCTGAGACTTCTGATGAGTAAAATCAGCTTTGAGTTTAATATACTTTACTAACCTGTATGGGAGGAATATCTGGTAATGAAGGTAGGTTCTCTGGGTTGGTTACAGAAGGAATAAGCTCTATTGCTGCTACAGATGGGCTTGTGGGACCACGGTTAGCATTGGCCATGGTGGCTGTTGTAGGACTTGTTGGATTGATAGTATTATTGTGCACTGAAACAACTGGGAAGGGACCAGCATGACCTGGGTTTGAATGCTGACAAAAGAAAAAGAGGAATTATTAAGATAAAAACAAAAGGGGCAATCGATTTCACATGTAAAACTATATTTTGAAAGCCTATTCCTTTTCTTAGTGAAAGTCTCTACTCCTGATAATTCTAGTGCAAATACATTGTATATTTCAACTCTTCCTTTTTAAAAATAACAAGTCAAAAGATTCATTGGGCAATCCTCTGCCTTAGATTAAACCAAAGATCTTCACATTAAAATGTTGGTCCAAACATTCTCACAATCTGGTTGGCCAGCAAACAGGCAATGGAATTATGAAAAATAAATTTCTTCTACAAATACATTAGACACCCCGTGAACTTGCACGTTGCTGGTAAATTTTAAGATATGTGACAATCATCTTATACTCTGCTTCCTTAAACAGCGAGAAATACATTCATTTTTTAGAAATACTAAGTTATACTTTTGAAAATGCTTTCTCACTTTTTAATTTACTTAAACTAAGCTAAAATGAAAGGTGGGAAACAAAATGTGCACACAGCGTATACTTGTCTCTGTAAGTGCGGCTGCATCATGGAGTACTGAGGCCCATTGTGGCGTGGGATCCCTGGAAGACGAGCTGCGTTCTGTGCCATTCTCATCTGGTGGGCTTGGAAAGCACCGCAATTCATACCTCTCTGCATGGTCTGCATACTTATCAATCTTGGAGGCTACAAAACATTATGAATTTTAAAACTCTTACTTTTGAGATGAGAAAAAAGAAGCACTTTTTTCCAACAGAATACATTGTTATATTTTACACAACAGTGAAAGTTAGCCACCTTTTACTTCTCTAATAACAAAGAGCAAAGACATTCTATCTTGTTTAATCTTGAAATACATTCAGTTTCTATACTAGAGGTCTATCTGAATGTCTATAATGAGTGCCTCAAAAACACTTGCCTGCTGTTGCAGCATCTGTGGGCCTGCCTGGCGAGCGATTGGCCCTGCAGGCTGCCCCATCCTCATCTGTTGTAACTGCTGGTGCTTTTGTTGTGCGAACACCTGCTGTTGCATATGCTGGAGCCGAAGCTGTGCAAGATTAATTTGCCCTGGAGGTTTGTTGATATGGTTTGTTCCTGGAGGAACTTGTCCCACTACTACATTAGGAGTGTAGCCTTGGGTTGGCTTATTTTCAATAACAAGGTTACCTAAACAACAGGAGAGAAGATGGGTTAACAGGTTTTTACTTTAACTAGATATTAACAACCTAAAATGTCTATGTTTTGCATATTCTGGTTACAAGAACAACAGGTCACCATAAAATGCATAACAAACATATTTTCAGTTGCAAGGTTAATAGATGTGCAATTATTTAGAATTCTTATTTACCTGAAGTGGGGTAGAGTGACAGCATCCATTTTAATTGGATTTTATTTTACAAGCCTCATGAGGCTTGGCAGTCTCTCTACAAATCTTGAGACTTGCAGAAAGATGACAATAAGCACCTATTAAAAATGGTTGGCAGTACTCCATTCTACCTCAAGTGAATCAAATGGTAGGTGTGCCACATTTTTGGGGTTCCCCAAAGTTGACATTTTTTTTCACTAAGAAAGAAAAAAGAGACTAAAGAGTAACCTTTATTAGCAAACAGAGGTAATGGGATGCAAGCGCTTCTCGCCTCTGCCTCTTGGCACTGTCTTTGCACTAGGTCCCTAACAGAGACAAATTTAAAACCATAGTGGTCCCAAAATCTGCTCTTGACTTAAATATAAGATGAACTTATACACAAGTATTGATTTCATGAAACAAAAGTACCTTATATTAGTTATTTCCATACAACTGCTCATAGATAAATGGATTTCATTCATCTTTAGAACATTTCCAACACTGCCCTAATTTTCAGACTATACAGTTATGATTATAAACCGTCCTGCAACATTACTTTAGTTTTCATATGACTACATACTACATACATGTGACTAACTACATGTGACTGACTAGAGGTATTTTCTATTTTTACCAGTGAAAGCTAAAAGACAATCCCTTGTTCAGCACTACGGCAAGAAGCTTGGGGGAAGGGAGATCTAATCCCGCTGTGCTTAAGGGCCGGGCTTTAGCACAGTGGGATAAACCACCAGCTGCAGAAAATCTTGCCAATCGAAAGGTTGACAGTTCAAGCCCGGGTTGAGGTGAGCTCCCATCTGTCAGCCCAGCTTCTGCTCATCTAGCAGTTCGAAAAGAGTAGATTAATAGGGACCACTTTGGTAGGGAGGTAATAAAAAGGCACCCATGTGGACATGCTGGCGATTTGATCAGGAGAGCGTCTATGGACAACAAAACTCCTTGCATGGAAGATGGAGCGACAGCACACACACACACACACACACACACTGCAGGAGTTGAGCACAGCCTCCAGATGTCAGAGATGGAAAAAGATGGGAAATCTTTACCTCTGTTTATGTACTGTCTGTCATTGTTAACTGTATAACAGCATTGAATGTTTGCCATATATGTGTACTGTAATCCACCCTGAGTCCCCTTGGGGAAATAGGGATAAAGTATATTAGAGAGAGAGAGAAAGGAAAAGGAGTGAAGGAAGAGAAATGAAAGTTGGAAAGGTATGAGTGGATGGAAGAGAAAGAGAAAAAAAGGGATTGAAGCAGGGCAGCAGTTGATTAAAAACAAAAAAAAAAAAAACGTTTTGCTTCTAGGTTTCTGAAAATTGTTTTTGTGTGCTAGTTTGGAGCAACAGGATTTGAAACCCCTTAGTTCTCCCCTTGACCTTTTATTTTCCCCTCTCACCTCTTTCCTCTCTCTCACCCCCAGTGGCGCAGTGGGGTATAACAGCATTGAATGTTTGCCATATATGTGTACTGTAATCCACCCTGAGTCCCCTTGGGGAAATAGGGCAGAATATAAATAAAGTATATTATTATAATAATCATTCTTAACTGGATAAACAAACATGTATTCTTGGTCTTAAGATGATGCATATTTTTATTATTTAAAAAAAACAAAAAAAGTTTTGCAAGCAGCTTGTGAATAAAACTTCTCTATTTAAACAAACAATGTTTCTAATTTTAGTTTAGATTCATGAAAACTGAGCATGGAAATGGTACACAAAACAAGTATTTAAACACTTGAAACAGATACAAAAGATTACTAAAGCTTTGGTATATACAACCTTGGTAACTCCAGGTTACAAACCACAAACAATTCTATGAAAGGTGAGCAACTACTGACATTTGTAGAATCTTCTATAGTGACCTCTGACACAGCTTAAGAAACTAAAGTAAAATAAAACCCTGCTTTGAATATGAGATAGCAGTCACACATATATTGGGGGAATTCAAATGTTGGTTTCACAAAAATCTACATTCATGTATCCTAATATACTTCTAAAGCAGCCTTTCCTAACTTGATATCCTCCATTCACTATGCAGACTGGTGATGAAAAAAGAGGGCATTCTTGAGGTAAAACTATATTCCTGCAACAAAACTGATGTCAAATATTTTATCATAAATGTACTTAAAGTGCTATATAACACACATCTAACTCAAAATAAACTAAGATGGGCTTCATAGCATATTACCAGGAATACCTGTATTAGTAATAATATATTTCCAGAACTGATTTAACATTCTTCCTTATATTGCAATGTGAAATCATCCAGTTCTGTTTTTAGTTTTAATTATTTCTAAAATGCCTGATATTTCAACAGTTCTTATTCGGAATTCTTTATTTTTCTTTGAAGACAAGGAAGGTAATTAGTCAATAACATTTCTATAAGCAACAGGTTTTAAGTTCCAATGAACATGTCTCTATGCTTCCTACAGAATCACACATCTTTGTTCTATTTTTGATCAGGAATTTCCAATTTCCTCTGCCATTAGTAAACATGATTTTTATTTTTTAAAAATCACTGAAGCTATTATCTCAATCACTGATCAGAAGTCTGCTTCAGGTTTTCACTTCCTGTACAGTATTTTCAGCTGATTTCCAGACTTTGGAGTGGGTGCTGTGAGAATGGGTAAAAAGAAGTGTAAAAAATGAACTGCCTTTATTTGGAGATTCTTCTCTCAGCATTTTTTTCTTCTAATGTCTTCCATGAAAAACCGAGAGTCTAAGACTATTGGAGGTCACATGAGGCTCATGAGGTGCTCTTTTAGTATTCATATTTTAAATTTGTTTTAATTTGTAATTCTTTTCACTTTGGAATGATATAATTCTGAAATTGACCCAAATCAAGATCTGCACTGTTGTGCCATTTAATGCAACAAAAATAAATACACAAATAAAATAAAATATATTCCTGTAATAGTTTAATGTATTTAGGAATTTGACTACAATATCCATGTTTTTTCTGATATCAAAATTCTCCTGACATTGGTTTTTACTGATGTCATTCATTATTATGTAACAAGCAAAATTTTTCAGTCAAGTACCATTTTTCTGCTCCTCTGAAAATATCCCCTCCCCCCCCCCCAAATTAGTTTTCTAGGTCTTCATTTCAAGTAACTTCTTTAGTTTATCTTACATATCCCCAATCCAATGGTGACATTTGCATATGTAATGGGATTTCTAATACCTCCCGTTTTCCGGGAGCATTTCCTCATGATGCCCAAAAAGTTGTCCTGAAGCTTGGGAAACTTCAAGATTGACCGCCACCAGAATAAAATGAGTTTCTGTAGGAGTGAAAACGGGAAAAACCATTTTAACTCCCAAGTCTCTGTATATACGTAAGAGGCTTTTAAGTTATTCCAGGGAATGCTCTATATTGATCCTTACGTCTCAAGCCTATATATACTCTCATAGACCGCATACAAGAGTAACATGCAAAGAACAAACAAAATAAATCAGGAAACAACAGACAAATGCATAGTGTCTTTATATGTATCAAAGCCACTGGTATCACCCAATCCCCCAACACAAGCAAACAGATTACACTTAATCATGCACACAAAGGATTGTCAGTCCTACCCCTACAAGAGCTCATGTCCTCTGAAGAACAGTTCTGAAGGTTTTGCTAACTTTCAGGAATTTATTTTTGGAGGGATTGTGAAGCAGCAGATGGAAAGGGGAAATAGTGGGAAAGTCCCCTGGCACAAAGACATTTAAAATGCTACCAAAAATCTAGTAGCAGTCTACAGATAATACTATTTGATGCCACTTATCATCTCAACACTGAATTCATCTTCAGAGAAAGAGAACACTCTCTCACCTAAGTTGACTACATTCTTTGCCCAGAATGTGGGATCACAATGGAAGCGTACTGCTCCATTAGCAGCTGGGACAGGATCACATCGTGCTTTTAAAATATGTCGCAGCTGGAACGTGATCTGTGAGAAGACAAACACTCTCTGATTAGTGGTGGCATTGTGCAAAAAAGCAAAAAGAAGCTGAAATAACAACATGCAACGATCAGCTAGTGGGTCGTCTCTTTGGGTAAGTCTCTCACTTCCAACACACACACCCTAGCCTTCCTCAAAAATTATAATTTATTTCCTCAAATACATTATCTCAGAAATTCAGGTATACAGGCCATGTTCCGTATTCATGGGTTTCTTATGAAGTTTTCATTATGTTCGAGTTTGTAGCTGCCACTTAACTAAGTTGACCTCCTTGCCTCTCCTCCTCATCCTTCCAAAAGTGCCATCCAGATTTTGAAATTCCTTTCCAGCCCATCGGTATCAATCCTCTGTCCTTCTACAACAAAGCTATATAGATTTTTAACCTTTTTTCCAGCCCATTGACCCCATTCCTCTTCCTCCCAAATCCCCCTCCCCACAATCTTATATCCTTCCAACAGCAACATCCATCCAGATTTTAAACCCCCGCTACCTATGGATTTCAATCTCCTGTCCTTCCAACAGGGCCATCCACATTTTAATCCCACTTCCATCCATCAACCTCCTCACCCCATTCCTCTTCTTCCCAATTCTCCTCCCTCTATCTCCTGTTTTTCCAACACCATCAGCCAGATTTTAAACAGCTTTCCAGCCAAAACGGAGATTGAGAGGACACAGATTGGGAAGAAGGGAAAAGGAGTTTAAAATCTGACTGGTGCTGTTGAAAGAATGGGGACTAAGAAGAAGAACACTTGGGCAAGGAATTGGATGTGCTGGAAAGGGATTTAAATCTCGATATAAAAAGAAAGGTGGATATAAATTTAATAAAAATGAATACATAATATATCATAATATCTAAAGCAATACATTGATTATAATCTGTTTAAGATTAAAATTAATCAATTACAGAACAAATAGAAGTATAAATAGATGTAATTTTATCATAGAATACGGTATTTAATGTTAATTCAGTCTGGGAGACCATGAGATCATGAATTTCAAATTATTATGGCAGAACAGAATAGAGACAACAGCAGAACTGGAAAATTATGGAATGCCTGTTTCAAACATTAAAATGCTTGCAAAGATAAACTTTTAGTTAACAATTTAATGCCAGATATGGTATTTCTGAAATTATTTTTTCCTGGTGTGATTGGAGGATAATAAAAAAGGGCTGGAGACATACTTTGCTTATACTTGATCTAAGATGGTTTCCATGCATCTGAAGAACTGTATTACAATCCATAAAACACTTAATCAATGCTTCACCTTAATATTAGAGATATACCGTGATTTTCTTGTTATGTTGAAATAAATACTGCCCCTCTTGAAACACCTGCATTTTTGTAGATACCTGACTTAAGTTAAACCTACATTCACATTATTTAGATGTATTTTGTGTTCTTTAATTATTTCAGAAATAAGATTTATTTATTTATTGTCGTGTCAGGAGCGACTTGAGAAACTGCAAGTCGCTTCTGGTGTGAGAGAATTGGCCGTCTGCAAGGACGTTGCCCAGGGGACACCTGGATGATTTCATATTTTTATCATCCCTGTGGGAGGCTTCTCTCATGTCCCCGCATGAGGAGCTGAAGCTGATAGAGGGAGCTCATCTGCCTCTCCCTGGATTCGAACCTGTGACCTGTCGGTCTTCAGTCCTGCCAGCACAGGGGTTTAACCCACTACGCCACCGGGGGCTCCAGAAATCAAGATAAGAATCCTGGGGAAAATTTTATCCCTAAAACCATCCCAAAAACTTGCTACAGACTTAAAATGTGTTTAAATGACAACATAGTAACTTAAGATTCAAGCCTTTAAAAGGGAGATCGAAATACAGTGTACTATATGCCACTATTACTTACTGAAAGAAACACTGCAACACTGGAAGAAACATAGCAACATTGAACATTTCTAAAAACTACTAATTTATGGTGTTTTTGTTTTTGGTTACTTTATAGTGATTTAATTTTTAAAAAACCCTTTTTGACTCAGAGATCAAAATATATTGCAAAATAAAGTCCTTTCTTTATGTTTGGAGATTCCTAATATGGAAATATTAGTATGCTGACATCATTAACTGTGATGATCCTTCCCTGAATGAATGCACATTCCAAGTTGCAGTACTAAAAATTTAATAAAATAGCAGAATGGAATTGCCCTTGCATTGTAATTAAAGCACAAGCAGTTCACTCCTGGTTCTGACGCAAGTTAGTAAAAAGTGGTATAAGCACCAATCAATATCTAATTTAACTTGTATATGAAACCACACCTACAGGTGGTTTCATATAATCATAGGTTTATTTAGGTTTTACTTTCAGTATATCGGATGTATTAAGAACTTCTGTTCTGTTTTACAGATAGAACAGATCCATCATTTGGATTTTGGTTTGGATTACATTTACTTGATTTTTAATCACCTCTCTTCCCTCCAATCCAGGTGCAAATATTAAGATCGAGTACAGTGTAAACATAAAAATACAGGCTTTGGAGGGACAGTCCCTTGAAACTGATAATTACAACATTGAATGTAGGCCCATTTGACTGTACAATCATCTGTTTCACAAATTTTCAGCTCACTAGTAAATAAAATTTACCATGGAGAAAAATAAGAAGAAAATCTTCCAGCCCATATCACTAGTGATATACCAGACAAGTAACTAAAAGAACAGGATTTTATTTCAAAATAATTTCTAAATCCAGGAATTTTTTAAAAATAATTCAAATGACTAGTTTGATATCACATATCTATACAAATAAACAGACCATGAACTAAAAAATGCAGCATCTGCTGGAAACACCCATACACTATTTCAGCATTCATAAATGCTGACACCATGCATTGTGACGTTACATCACGTTTTTAATTAAGTAAATTTGTCACTGAGTTGCAGTAGCAATTAATTATAGATCTTCCAGTAATTTAAATTTAGCATACAGTGAAAACATCTGCAAGCAGGGTTGCACTGACTGTACTTATCTGCAAATGTTGACATGATGTCAAATGATGCAGAATTTTCTATATTTCAATGCAAGAGTTACAAGGTCTGCAGCAAGGCTAAATTTAATAAAATCTATCCTGTGTTAGAATTAAAGCTCCTTACCAAACGCTTGCTATAAAGCAAGGCAGTGCTGCTACCACTTGCAATGGCCCAATTTGTGAAGTTCATCACATGTTTCACCTGCCTTGAGAGACCACTGATATCATTCTGCTGTTGTATTAGCTTCATCTGCCTCTCCTTCGTCACAGCCTGAATACAAAGGACATAAAATAAAATAAAAAATTAATAAATAATTTGGGCAAGTATTTTAAAAATGCAGTTATACAATGTTTGATATTCAGGAGAGTGACACATGTAAAGTGTTTCCATGATCATTGTCCATTGTAGACAGCCAGTCTTATTCGCAGACTTCACTGCATTTTATGAGTTTTATAATTTTATTGGATGGGGCTTTATGTGTGTTCCTTGTGTTATAACTTATGGTGCTGTTTTATATGTTTATGAATTGTTGTTTTATGTGCAGCACTTAAAGTGATTCTGTGAATCTTCCTGAGTCCCTTCGGGGAGATAGTGGTGGGATACAAATACATTATCATTATCATTATTATTATTATTATTGCACAGCAATTTAATTTTGTTATCAAATAAATTTTATTTTTCAGTATTATGTAAGAAGGAAAAGTATCCTAGATATCAATATGAAGGTTAAACATATCTAATTACATTTACTGGGGACAGTGGTCTACTTCTGTCTCACTAGTATGCTACCAGGACTCTGTTTAAAAACCTCTGTTCTTTCAAAACTCTGTTGTACAATACTATATGTTGGAACACATTGAGAACTATTGGTAGTTTACCATTTTTAAGCAAAGTCAAATAGTGAAAATTACCTAGCTTTTCTTGCCTAAGATAAACTTTATTAACAGGCTTTGGGGCATGTACAAGAAAGGAAGTCCTATATAAAAGATGAGAAGGATAATCTGACTTTAATGGTATTAGAAGACTTAAAATATGAAGAGTAAAACAAGGACCAGAGAGAGATTTAAAATAAAACACACAGCACTTAACACATAATAAGATTTTAATGGGACACCATGGGGAAAGCTGTACACTTCAAAGCCATGATGTTAAATCAGTCCTACAATTTGTGATTACCGTTACTCTAGAATTAATGCTTCCAATTCATGTAAACATATTTTAGAAAGTAATTCTATACTGAAGGGGAGGGAAAGAATGGCCCTTTGTATAAGCCGAAACAAGCACCAAGCCTGGTACTACTTGTACATGAAGTGCTAAACTATATTTTTGTATTATGCATGAAACAGGTCAGTAAGTTCATGCTGGATAACCTTATGAACAGAATAATTGATGAGTATCCAAAACACAAGAATCATATACAAGTAAACATCACACTAGGGGTCATACAATGCTCTTATTTGTTTTGCATTTATTCATACCTCAAGTTGCTGCAAAAGAGATTTTCCCTTTTTATTGATTTCATTAATGAGGGTAAAAATAGCCACTTTGATTTCCTGTTCTACTCTTTTGTTTGTATCATTTACTTCTTTTATCCTAAAAAAGAAAAATGTACAGTCATCCAATAACATTTCAACATTTTCAAACTCACATGTTGGAAATATCATTTATTATTAAAATAAACATCTTTACATAATGAGAAATAATATTCATACATAATCACATTAAATAAAACAATAAGTCATCACTTTGATTTTCACAACAAAAACTCTATAACCTGCATGTAAAAAATCTGCATGTTAAACATTAAAGTTAAAATTGTTGTGTGATTTTAAATAACTGTTTTAATTTATATGTTTTAATGATGTGATTTTAATGTATATGTTGTTGTATGCTGATATGTGTTCAAGGCATCAAATTGTGCCTTTGTTGTGAGCCACCCTGAGTCCCCTCCGGAGTGAGAAGGGTGGGAAATAAATAAATAAAATAAATACATAAATAAATACAACTGCTTTCAGTGATATTATAGATTAATTTAGAACTGTGTAAAATGTAGCTGAAAGGAATCCTGTGTTAGAAATGATAACCTATTTCAGCGATGCAATCAGTAGCTAGCTACCCGCCTGAAGCAGATAGGAGCTGCCCATGAGCACCTGCCTATAAGCAGAGAGATGGGGAAATTTGAATGTTTTCTTTCTCTTGGTAATATTTCAAAAGATGAAAATCATTTTCTCCTTTCACTCTGATCCAGGGAAAAAGTGAAAGCAGTCACAGGCTCCACACACACACACAATATATATATATATATATATATATACACACACATATACACATACACACATACATATACATATACATATACACCAGCATACATAGCTGTGTATGTGAAGAATAACTTCTAATCCATGCCATGCATGATGCTGTCAACAGTCTTCAGTGCAAATTGTGCCCTATTTGTAGAAGCCTATTTTTGCTAGCAAATTTTGTCCAATGGATCAGAATGACTAAGTATTATTATCCATAGCTGTTGTATAAAGGATGCAATCAGAAACGAGCCTTCATGGTGTAGTGATGTGAGTGTAAAGACCAGCATTCTGGAAGGTTGGGATTCAAATTCCTGCTGAGACATTACAGTTGGCTGAATGAATCTGGGCATGTCAAAGTCTCAGCCTAAGAAGGTAGCAATGGCAATACTCCTGTGATTAAATCTTGCCAAGAAAACTCCACAACAGTCACCATAAGACAGGGTTGAATGCACACAACAAATATTACAGAAAATCATTCAGAGCCTAGAACTTAAAGACTTCTGTGAATTATTAACATGAAAATAACCATTAATATAGAAAAAATCAAACTCACCTATTTTGTACTTGAGTAGCTGCAAAATTAACGTAATTCTTCTTTTCAAGAAGTTTAGCTAAGAGATTCTCTATAGCACCCTTTTGATTCTGAAATGCTTCTTCCAAAAACTGATACCTTTCCAAAGGAGAAGACAAAAAATGTTTAAGCATTACAATAAGAGGATGAAGAGACGAAGCGGATTTTTTTAGTTTGTATTTGTTGTATAGTTATGTGTTGTGGATACTGGCTTTTGTAACTGTCTTTTTTATGTGTACTGTACACCGCCATGAGTCGCCCGTAAGGGCTGAGAATGGCGGTTAATAAGTGCATCAAATAAATGAAGTAGATTTAAAACTATGCTTCCTAATGCGAAAGTGGAAGCTACAAAAATGCAATTGCTAAGCATGCTTCAAAGATATTTCCATCGAAGACAAAGAAAAATCCTGAGGCCACCAGCAACCTATCTATACTGCTTTACCCAGCAACTTGCATTTTATCATGGTTTGGGGCTGCAGTACTTCACCAGCCCAAGGCAAAATAGTATAAAATGAAGGGAGTGGCAATCCAATGTTATCGGGAGAGCCAAACAAGTAAACAAAAACATTCAGAACCTTCTAGAGATTGTCTAAAGGCTCATTACAAAATACATCCACAGATAACTTTCAGCAGCCTCCACTTTTCTCATGATTTTCCATTTTGGTGGCCAAATTTATCACCTATGCTTCCTTTAACACTTGTTTTGAGGCAGACTTGTCTTCTCTCCCCTATCCTTTCTGTTTTACTATTCCTGCACACCCAAGTAAGGTAACCTGGAAGCAGCTTCTATTACCTATCCTATTGTTAATGTACACACAGCTACAGAAGGTTGGCTAAAATTACTGATGATAAATCTCAATTTACTGATTTCCAACCGTTTATCCGAAGAATGGGCAAACTTGGGCCCTCCTGGTATTTTGGACTTCAACTCCCACAACTCCTAACAGCCTACCAGCTATTAGGAATTGTTGGAGTAGAAGTCCAAAATACCTGGAGGGCCCAAGTTTGACCATGTCTGGTTTTCCTGTAGCTTCTGGACATTAAGGACTCTCTCTCCCCTGCATTTCTTGACCTGTCATGTAACATCTTGGTTGTAAAAATTCAATCAGCAAAGGCTGCAGTTTTAGTTGTCCCAAGTTTCTGTTTCTCCTACATAATATTGCTTCCCTTCCCTTTGATACTCCTGAATCAAAATCCGTGTAAGTATAAGGTTTCAAAAGCCACTGAAATTCTTTCTCAATTTCTCTTTCTGGTTTTCCATAATCTTTTTGCAGCAACCCACATTACCACAATGGTCAAACCATTTAAGTATAGAATTTAAGTTTGCATTTTATGCATTCTCTCCCAAGTATGTAGGAAAAAACAATTTAAATGGGGGTTGAGTTTTTTTTTTTACTCAGAAAGCTGTACAGTTTAATGTGTCCAGTGTAAAAGATCGTGAGATAGGTTTTCACCCTATGCTGATGACTACTCCTGTCAATGAAACTGTGTTTGTGTTAAACCCATGAGAATCAATACATTGAAGTTTAATCCAGACAAGAGAAAAGTGCTTCTGATCAGTCTAAAAACAAATCTGGGACTAGGGAGTAAGCCTGTGTTTGAAGAAGTTACATTCCCCTCAAAACACAAGTTTGCAGCTTGAGGGTACTCCTGAACTCAGCCCTGACTCTTGAGGTGTAGGTTCCAGTGGTGGCAGGGAGTGCATTTCCACAGTTAAAGCTAGTGTTCCAGGATGAGTGAGTTATTTATTTATTTATTTATTTATTATTTGAAACATGTATATTCCACCCCTCTCACCCCACAGGGGACTCAGGGCAGAGCACAACGTATATATGGCAAACATTCAATGCTGGGACATAAAACTATAAATATACACAAACATTAAAATCACTTATATCTACTTTAAAATCAGCTGTTTAAAACCATCTCAAGACATCATGCTGGCTCCGGTCAGCTGAGTAAGTTTCCTATTATTGCCTCATTGCACTGCCCCAAAGGCTTGGTCCCACAGCCAAGTTAGATACGGACATGGTAACCCATGCCTTGGTTATATTTCTTTTGAACTGCTGTAATTTGCTCTATATGGGACTGCCTTTGAAAAATGATCAGAAACATCAATTAGGCCAATGAGCTGGCCCAGATAAATAACTGGGACTGATTACAAGAAGTGTGCAATTCCCATGTTGCACAGATCCATTTTTCTCAAGATATTAACTTGGATGCAAAGATTGCAGTGTGCGATGGTAATCACTTCCACACACTTCTATTCCCCATTTCTGACAGATTCATGTTCACAGAAGGATCATGAATTTAAGCCAAAGTTATGATGGAATCATACAGTAGTAAAGCAGCTGTAGAAGCAGTAGCTTTTTTAAAGTGAGAGTCAGAAAAGCTAGAATAAGCCCACGATGCTAAATACAGCCTAAAAACAAAGAGTACAAAACTATGTATGCTCACTCAAGAGCATCACTAAATTCATGATTGAAATTTCCAAAAGGAATAAGATCCTGTCTTATCTTAAAGGCTAAGTGTGATGAGCCCTGATAAGTACTTGAGTGGGAGACCACCAATGTAAAAAAAGGAATATATATATTGGTTGTATTTCAGAGGAAGAAAGTGGCAAAGCCACCTCAGAAAGCAGTGAAAACACCATATATAAGCAGGCAAATTAAAGGTACACACTAACACTATTTTGTATGATTCTTACTTTTTAGTGTTCACGTGGATTTAACCGGAAGCTTCTAATGCGCATCTTTACACTATTATGACCGCATCTCCCTCTACGAACCGGCATGTATCCTAAGATCTTCTGGTGTGGCCCTTCTCTCATTCCCACCACCATCACATGCTTGGTTGGTGGGGACCAGGGAGGGGGCCTTCTCGATGGTGCCCCCCCCCCCCCCCCCCCCCCCCGCCTCTGGAATGCCCTCTCCAGGGAGCTAAGACAGGCCCCATCACTTTCCTGGTTTCACAAGAACTTGAAGACTTGGTGATTTCATCAGGCCTTTGAGAATGACTAATTACTAGCCCTTAGTTTCCAGGCCTTAGCTAGATTTCGGCCGTGCTCCTCATTCTCCTTCCAACCCTGTCATTCTCGGACCATTCATTCTGCCCAGTCCCTCTCATAGTCCATTAATAGGTTCTGAAAATGTAGTCCCAGACCCCACTATGGTCAATGCTAGGATCGACTTTTTACTTCCCCTCTGTCTCCCCAGCCCAATATTGTTCTGCACTATCCTGGGCCCATCCCTCTTAGACAGTTTAGACCCACTCAACTATCCTGGCCCTTAGCAACTCATTCCAGATTATAGAATAGTGTTTGATTTTGGTTTTAACTGTATTTGTTTTTGTGTTAATAATTTTGTGCTTTTGTTTTGAATACTCTGTATATTTCTACTGTGTCATTGCATGTGTGGAAACTGCCTTGAGCAATTAGGGGAGATAGAAAAATATATAAATAAACATCATCATCATCATCATCATCATTATTTATGACTAAGCTGAAATAAGACTGCCACAACTAATAGAACAGAATTAGTGGCTGCTATTATTACTGATTAGTTCATATATCACAAGCTTCTGAAATTATATCAAGAATGCTCACCATACTTATACTACCAAATAAATTGATGTTATTGATGTACAGATAGCGAGAAGACAAAGCAAAAAAAATTCTGAAATCCATCATTTATAATCACACAGTTAGATATTTATATCTTTATGATTATCAAAATGGCATTTTTTTTGCACAAAAATTGAAAAGTAGTATCACTACATCTCTCACAAAATCAATAAAAAATAAATACCACAGTAAACTACGGAGCAAACTAATGTCATGAAGTAATCCTTGTTAAAGCATTACCAGTGCTGATAATAGTAAAGATTCTATTTCATTGATAATTTTCTTTAACTCCATTTCTCAGAACTAACCAAAAGAGAACAAATGCAAAATAAAACTACTACAACTGTCTCTCTTCTTTAAGATTGCAGTGTTTAACCTTTCTGATCAAATAAAACACAAATTATTCCTAACAATAATGTTTAATAAAAATAAACACTAGTGACATTCGCCTGTGCACTAGAGGAAATGTCTTTTTCACAATATCTGCAGCATGCAGAATCCAAATTCAAACAATCTTTCTCTAAATTATATATATATGCAAACAGTGATAGATGAAATTAAAATTCACATTATTAACCAAGATTTCTTTAATCCCAATACTGTTCTATTAATTTTACTTATTGCTTTGCCCTTAATGAATCAGGACTGGATTGAAAATGGAAAGCAGCAGCACCCCATTTATCATAAAGCGAAAAAATAGCGCAAATACATGAGGGTTGGAGTTTAAAAGCAATTTGCTGTGAAGACAAACAGCACATTAAGACACTGGTGCCTATACCTATGTTCCTTGTGTTCCAGTAACTGACAGTCTCTGCATGTCAATCTGTCGCAGGTTTCACAGAAAAGTTTTAACTGTTCTTGTTTGTGTACTGGACAGAAGACAGGACGCTGACCAGATGCTCCAACTGCCTCTGTTTTAAAAGAAACACATATTTTTAAAAATCAAAACAGTGTAAAAATTAAAACTGCAAGATAAAATACCAAACCCCAAGGTGGGTAAATTCCATGACCAAGGTGGATTGATTCCTATTCTCCAGTGCTGGGGAGACAGACAATTGCCAGGAACAGTACAATTTTCAGCCCTTCTGTATGTATGTATTTAAATATAGCGTAAAGGTAAGGGTAAAGTTTTCCCCTTGACATTAAGTCTCGTCATGTCCAACTCTGGGGGCTGGTGCTCATCTACATTTCTACGGCAAAGAGCTGGCATTGTCCGTAGATGCCTCTTAGGTTCATGTGACTGCTGTGACTGTATAGAGAGCTGTTACCTTCCCGTCAAAGCAGTATCTATTGATCTACTCACATTTGTCTATTTTTGAACTGCTAGGTTGGCAGAAGCTGGAGCTAACAACAGGAGCTCACCCTGTCCCCCAGAGTCAAACCGCCGGCCTTTCAGTCAGCAAGTTCTGCAGCTTAACGGTTTAACCCGCTGCGCCACTGTGGCCCCGGTAAATATAGTGTATACTCTGTTTTTCTCCCTATATATCCCAAGGTGGTTTACAGCATACACTAAGACAAAATATGACAAGAAGTTTAAAAACCATTTTAAAAATCTATTTCTTTTGACATAAATACTGCTGCATTTTCTCACTCAATCAGTGTAATATAAACATTGATTTCAGCTGCTGGGCACTCTCCTAGGAAAAGTACAGTGGCAAGAGCTCCTAAATTTGCTGAAATATTCTTTCCACTGTATGACTAAATTGCCTGTTTCTACTGGGAATCTGGGCTAACGACTATACAACTGCATTAATAAATGGGCCACTATCCATTCAATTGCCTTGGACAGAGGCAGTTAAAGGGTGTTTTCCATTTGATTAATGTTGGTGACCTGGGATTCTACAGCAAGAAAATATTAAGATAGCGAGAAGTCATTTTCAAATGCATTCAAGCAAATGTCTCTAACCTCTAAAACTATCCTGCTTTGACCCATCTCACCCCATTAATTATTTCCTATCTTCCTTCTGCCTACATACCCTAGAGGCACCTGATCCTGTCTGATCTTGGATGCTAAGCAGGACAAGCCCTGGCTAGCACTTGGATGAAAAACAAATAACTCGTGCTGTAGACTATATTTCAGACAAGGAACTGGCAAAACAACTTCAGAGTATTGCTCATCTAAGAAAACCCTATGGAATTCATAGTGTCACTATAAGCTCCAAATTCTTGAAGAATGTCACTAATTTCTCAGGTTTCTGTGTGATATGGCTTCAATGTGATGCAATTCCCTTAACTTGTCCTAGTCAAAAATACTTTCAACTAATTTCTGTCCAAATCTAAACATTTCGTGGCAAGTGTCAGTTCCTTGGGAGAAGGTTCTCTTTCCTACTTTAAATAGGCAAAACAACAACAAAAAAGACCCACTAATAAATCTCCAGATTACATGAAATAGACCAGCAAATTTTCTGACTTTCAGAATAACTTCTTTCCCACATACCCATGTATGTGGGAAAGGGAGGCAACTTTTTGTATTTTTGGTTCAGTTCTATTAAACATAGAGGAAGTGCAGTCCATGTTTCTGGTGTCTGACAGCCTCCATCCTTTCCCCAAGCTGATATTTTTTAATTGCATGATTTGTGGAGGATTTTTACCCAAACTGCACAGAAGGATCTCCAAATGTACAAATACCATCATCCAGCCCAACACTCTAATACCTCTGTGTCCTAGAAGAGTCCCTCTCAAAATGGCAACAGTCACCATTTTAAGAGGGGTTTTGAAGAAAAGGAGAAGTATTCTGATATGTTGACTGGTGGCCTATAGGGCATGTAAGGGAAATCGGACCCTGACCTCCACACAGTTGCTTACACCTAAGTTATATAAATGAAAGTTTACTTGCAGCATTAGGAGTAAGATGCAAGTGATCAGGAAGAAACTACGCCTTTGCTATATATGAAACATTAATACAGTGTGTCCTTTATACTGTAGTTCATGCTGCTTTCTATTCTAGTACATCTAGGGTCACAGTATTAGAACTAGAGGCTAATGGAGTTTATTCGCCAATCTAATGATTACTGTCTCCCTTCTAACTAACAGGCTATATCAGAAGTCCCTTGCTTGAATAATAACATTATTTTGTCATTATACTGAGCGCCTACTGGGCACCTTGAAAACATTCTGTCAATTATAAAATTATTTTATTGTTAAATTTGTTATAATAATATACTTCAAAATCAATTGAAATGTACCCCACTATTCTAGTATTCTTAGCAGTTGGCCATTGATACCTTTGCAAAACCTGTGCACAGCACAACAGTGCCTTTCAAAGGACTTTTTTCAAAATAAAATAATCCCCTAAAACAATACTTCAAAGGCTAACATAACAATTTGATACATCACAGATATTAAATTTATCAAATACAAGTTGCATGATGGGATATATATCAAAACTCCAGGTCTTGAATTATATTGGTTATTTGGATCTCTAATGATGCATTTTCTGGCTATGTTTAAGGATGGGATCAGCTTTGGTTGCTATGGTGGATAATTTATTCTGGTAAAGGGACAATGGGAATCCAATACTTCTCATTCTACTGGATGTCTCAGCAGGTATGAAAACAATCTATCATGCTGACTATCTGTATTGGTTGAGTTTGGGAAACATGGTCATATGAATTATCCCAATGCATCTTACAAGATCAGTCTCAGAAAGTGATGCTGGGAAAATTGGTTCTCACTACATGGCCTCTAGTTTATGAGGTGCCTCAAAAATCCCATCTTTTTTCATCTTTTCTCACATCTGCGTGACAATGCTGAAGAAAGTGATCCTGAGACTTGGGTTGTCATATACCTCTTTTACATCTCTAAACCTAGGAGATAGACCTAAAGCCTAATTAGTATAATACTAAAGTGCTGGGAAAGGTGTCTAAACTAGTCGAAGGTATACAAAAACAGCATTCTCTCTGAAAAACGAATCCCACAATTGTAAGACATGTTTCAAGCTGTTTTATCATTTTTTAAAAATAATGTTTCAATGTCACTGATAATACAACACAAAAGCCCTCATAGAAGGGTTATGTCTAGAAATATTTAAATAAATGAATAACAACAGACCAAACTGAGTAGCCTTAACAAAAATGCTTGGGAATGTAAGTATTTTAGATCCCCCCCCCCCATTTTGAAATATTTGCATTTACATAATGAAGTATCTTGGAGATGGGACCTACGTCTTACACAAACTTCATCTATACTTCATTTGCATCTAATACACATAGCCTGCAACATAGTGCATAAAATAAAGTTTGTGTACATCAGAAAGCAAAGGTGTCTCTATCTCAGCCACCCATGTGGATAATTTCAGATTTTGGAACACTTGGGATTTCTGGATAAGAAATATTCAGCTTGTACATTCTCTCTAAGCATCACTAAAACCTTCTGTTACATACAGTCGCCTATGAAATGAAACCTTATTTACTGTTCCATCCAGTACAAAACTGGGGGCATCAGCGTCTAAAATACAAATATAATTTAATGAGTTTCAATATACATATTAAGAAGCAAATATCTTTAGCTGTGATTACAAGCAATTACAAAAATCCAAAGTTAGTGAAAGAGTTCACCTGAAGAGACATCTTCCTTCTTTCTGATCATATGATCCTTAGTAAATTTTACTCGTTGATGAGCTTCTATGCATGTTTTGCACAGCCATTCACCACATTCCACACAGAAGCCAACAGCGCTAGAATTATCTTCACAGCTGGTACACACCTACAAACAGGAAGGAAAACATTTTCAAATGCTGAAATCTTGACATATCAATCAATAAATTATCAAAGCCTATATCCTTCACAAAATGAAGAAACAATCCATATTGCAAGGAGAAAAGAGCTGAAGTGACATACCTGTTCAGATTTCTCATCAGAGCTGCTGGGTACTTCAGATGTGTCTTTGACAAAGTAGTTATCTACCAAATCTATTTGCCTGCATTCCTGGCGACAGATTGGACACCTGATCACACCAACTGCAACCAAAAGAGGACACTTCTTACACTTCTCTGGATTGTCATAACTTGATTTTTTAAAAATATTAACGGGAGTATCATAAGGTTTGGTAATGAATGTATTTTAAAAACCGTCTAAATGTGTTAGTAGAAATTGTCCAATGGTGCAATACAAGCATTTTCTAGTCCAGTGGGTTCCATACTATGTCTTATTCTTAACAACACAAGGCAGATAGACTTCTGCTGGCGAAACTATAGAATCTAGCAGGACCAGGAGGGGAGTATGAAACGTGGCAGTGGCAAGAGGGAAGGAGAAGTCCTCCTTGCGCCTCCAGAATCAGTTCTGGGAGTTGGGAAACCACCTCAGAATTTTCACAAAGTGGAATGAAGTTTTGGGGGAGTAACTGAGATTACCTGTACAGGGTATACTTAGTCTAAAGATAAAGAGAAATACTATTTCAAATTTCTATACAGCATACACACACACACTACAAATAACCAGGCAGCTACATTTTCCACAGTCCCGTTCAACGTTAAATAAACTTTCAGAAAAATGTTTGTTTTACAAAATATTGCTGCCTTTCATCAACTCTCATTGATATTGCTTTTTACAATGGACAACTATAAGTACAATTTTCATTTACAGCAGACTTGCAGTTAACAGGCACCATGGAGATTGTGAGATGCTGGTTAAATGTAGTTTCTGGTTGCGACTGTTACTATTAAAATAGGCCTAATTAATACTATACTCCATACTATGCCATAAACTCTGCATTGACTTGATAATAATATTAAAATACAGGCAAATAAAGAGAAATAAAGACAAACTTAACTTAAATTAACACAATTTTACTGTAATATACATGCATTTATATTTTTATTTAAAATATTTCTTCCATTTTTTGTCACTTGCTTTTTGGTCTACTGTAATGACACTTTCATTATATTTGTTTTGTTCCTTAGCACTCAACAAGTTAGATAATAATTAAGCTGAAATAAGTCCCACTGAAATTATGGATAACTTAATATAGATCCAACCCTATGTTGTCATTATGTTGTTATTCAAGCTCCAAGCTCCTGACATATAAAACCAATAAATCAGAACCATACTCAGACCATACTTTGTATTTTTTCAGCTCTCAATGTTAATTTATCCAATTATTCTTTTCCAATACTTTTTTTATTTTATGTTTTGGGAATCCTATTACATCTCTCTTTCAATATTTTTTCCTTTAAAAGTTTCTCACAAACATCAACATAACTAAAACCATGTTATAAAGAAAATGAAAAACACTTGGACCTCTTAATGTTACTGGATTCTACCTCTTATTATCACTATCTATGCTAGGTCAAACTGATGACAGTCAGGGCCCAAGAACATAGATTGTCCAACCATTACTATAAAGGAATTAGTATCATTTTTTTCTTCTAGCCTCATTATACTTTCTGTATAGCACTGCTTAGGTCACCTACAAATCAGAGCAGAAATATGATATTTCTAATATTGGATATCTGGAGCCCCCGGTGGCGCAGTGGGTTAAAGCACTGAGATGCTGAGCTTGTTGATCGAAAGGTCGCAGGTTCGATTCCGGGGAGCGGCGTGAGCTTCCGCTGTCAGCCCTAGCTTCTGCCAACCTAGCAGTTCGAAAACATGCAAAGGTGAGTAGATCAATAGGTACCGCTCCGGCGGGAAGGTAACGGCGCTGGCCACATGAACTTGGAGGTGTCTACGGACAACGCTGGCTCTTCGGCTTAGAAATGGAGATGAGCACCACACCCCAGAGTCAGACATGACTGGACTTAATGTCAGGGGACTACCTTTACCTTTACCTTAATATTGGATATATTTCTTTTCTTTTATATTCTGAAGGTTTTCTGTACACTGAGGAAAGGGAAGAGAGTCTTCCTATGCTTTTCAACACTGCCTGAAAATTGCAATGTTCAAGGATTGTATTGCGGCATACAATCCCCCCCCCCCCCCAATTAGATCCTGGATCCATACATTCCACTAACCACAGCTGGAAAATATAAAATTAAAAAAGCAAATCCAGATTTTGCGATTTTATAAGAGATACTGTTTTACTATCCCATCATATATAATAAGTCTTGAATATCCACAGATTTGACATGCAAAGGAGATCCTGGAAACCCCAGCAAGGGATTCCGACTAAACCAAGGGTCTACTGTATGCTGTAAAGAGAAAAATAAAGGAAGTCTCCTCTATGGTCAAGTATATAACTGCAATATATAAGGAGAGTGCAGGCCGAGTATCCTTAATTCAAAATGCTTGAAGCATTTTTGGATTTGGGTTTATAAAATTTTGGAATACCAGTACGTATCTGCATATACAGTACATGAATAACGAGATATCTTAGAGGGGAGACCCTAGTATAAACACAACATTGATGTTTCATATATATCTTACATACATAGGTTGAAGACAAATTGATACAATGTTTTTAATAATTTTGTCAATTAACAAAGTGTATATACAGTGAACTATCAGAAAGCAAAGGTGTCACCATGAGGACAATTTTGGAGGGTTTCAGAATTTTGAATAAGTGATGTTCAACCTATATCATTTGACACAAAAGCTGAATGACATTTCATTTGTAATGGCCTGACATCATTCATTAAACTTCTCATCATATATTGCTATCCCTGAGTAATTTAAGATGTGTATTGCTGAAGAGAACAGATAAACCACTTCTGGGTCTAAGTTCTACTCCAATCTAAACAAGAATATCAAGCAATTCTATTTCTAAGATAAAGCATGCGGATTTCAAAAGTAGACAGTGGGGTGTGGAATCTCTCACTTTTTGACTAAAGATTATATTTTTGCTAAAGAGATTTTGTCTTCTCTAGAACTCAAGTGACAGAAGAAAATATTTTACAACTTTATCAATGGATATAAAAATAAGACAATATGCTGCTATACAATACTGAGGGTGCAGATGTTTCTGATTTCCAAACAAATGTGTTTTGTAGCAGTTTAGCTGGTCTCCTTGATAAACTACTAAGACTGAAATAAAATATTTGTATACTTACATAGTACCATTGCAACAATCCCAATGAAAACCCACTTGGAACTAAGGCATAATTAAATTTTAAAAGATTTTCTGTCGTTTATCGACAAATTGAGATTTTACAACCACCAAATTTTACAAACATTACACATATTGTCACAACAAAAGTGAATTTTGAATGAGGTGAGAAGTAGGTCCAGTAGTCCCATCAAATGTTACCAAATCATTAAAATAAAACTTGAAATTAAACTTAACGTTTATGGCAGCAATACTATATAAGGTTTAGAGATACATAACAAATTCACCAGGCCAAAAAAAAGTAGATAAGACTTTGGAATTTGATGGAGGTTTCTTAAAAACCTTCTGAGTAAGAAATACTTCTACTAGGAAGGGAAAAGATGGAAATAAATGGAAAAGACAGATAGCAATTTCCATAATTTCCTACCTAAGCAAAAAGTTCTGGTGGATCAGACCAATCCTGCTTCCTCACAATGTTTTTCCAAAGCTTTCAATTTTATAATCAATGCCATTCTATATCTGAGATACATGTAGACACTAACATAGTAGCATTTAGCCATTATGAATTTATCTTACCTTTTAAAGCCATCTAATGAAAGTGAATTCCAGAAATCATGTGCTATATCAAGACATATTCCATTTTCGTATTTTATTTTTCCTGCTAATGTCATTGGATGAGCTCAAGATCTAAGTACTGACAGACAGAGAAAGCATCCTGGCCAAACACTTTCTTCACTCAATTTATAGCTGCACACACCTCTATCAACACACAACCAGATGGAGGGCACAAGCACAGATCACTTTGGAAATTATTCAAGATCTATATTGTTGAAGACTTTCATGGCTGGAATCACTGGGTTGCTGTAAGTTTTTTGGGCTGTATGGCCATGTTCCAGAAGCATTCTCTCCTGATGTTTTGCCCGCTTCTGTGGCTCTTAATAAAGCATGAAAAACTACAAAACTGAAAGGGCCTCACAAATTATTACACAATTAAAACAGTAACTCAGTCAGAATGTTTTTTTTTTAAAAAAGTTTCACTACTAATGGAAGGACACCAAGGAGGCGGCCAAGCTGTCCTTTATAAAAAGGCATTTCCAAAGTGTAAGGGTACCTGTGAAAGTGACAGGACCAACAGAAAGGCTTTTTCCTGTGGATCTCAGGGTCCTGTCAGATGTTTACTGACAGACAGAATCTGTTAGATAACCTGGGCCTAAGCCATAACGCCAGCATTTTGAATTGTGCCTGGAAACATACTGGCAGTCAGGAGAGATGTTGTAGTAACGGTGGTTATAGGTTTCCCATAATCAGCTCCACTTAAACTCTTGCTGCAGCTCTTTGAACCAAATGAAGTTTCAGAGCACTCTTTAAAGGCAGCTCTACATAGAACATGTTACAATAATCCAAATGGTATATAACAAAGTTACGTMTCGCCATGGCCATTAGGGATCTCCAGTAACACGAGTAGTCCGTGCACAAGCTTAAAATGTGCAAAGCCACTTCRAAGCACTGTAGAAACCTGGGTATATAGGCTGAGTCCAGGTGTGCACCCAAACTCCAAATCTAAGTCTTCAGGGGGAACTATCAACTCARCCAACACAGGCTGTATCCCTATTACCTGATCTGCTTTTCAACTATCCAGGGACATTCTGCCTCATCTGGACTGYGTTTAAGTTTATTTGCTCGTATTCATTACTGATGCCGAACACCAGTTTAGAATAGACASAAATACMTGGAATTTCACATGCTTAGCTACCATCTAGAAAAKTGAAGTGACGGGAGACATTTGTCATTAACAATGRAATTCTTTGGATGAAAAACTGCCATATTCACATATCTGTGAAACAACCAGATGCTCAAATAAAACTTCAAATAATAGGTATACCCAGCAGCAAGCCAATAAAACAGTTTTAAATTGTTTCAATGTCTATGCCAGCCAACATCTCAAGCTTGTATACTTGGTTTTATGATGTTAGTGAG